TGCCCACCAAGTGCAGTGTTGCAGCAACGCCAGCACATCTACGTACGCTTCAGGCAGCTGCAAGATTTATCTCTAAACCGAGAGGCTAGCAAAGCAAAGTTTGCAGAGCCGCTCAACATGGACACACATTGCGAGAATGCTGGGCGAACTTCCTTACAGTATCTGTCTGAAGCTAGCAGCCGAAAGCCGTTCCCCCACCAGTCCGCCATGGTGCCACATCTGATGTTGGCGGCCGCCGCGCTAAGGGAATGCTCTGCACCACGGCTTCCTGGGAGAGCCAAGCTCGATACCCAAACTCGAACATTACTTGCGGTAGGAAGCCGATTCACGCACTGGAAGGGCCGATTCGCTCACTGGACGGATCGCAGACTGAACTGAGTGTTGTCAAAACCCCCCCCCCCCCAAAGAATCCTACCCCTCGGCCATGAGAAGGAAACCCTCAGCCCTCAAAGCCCTGATTGGTCAGCCGAAAGCCTCAACACCCTTGAAGCCACAAGAATCCGAAACCCTGAAGCTGTAAAGCGTCAAAAACCCCCAAAATCCGAAAAGTCCCTGAGCCACAAACACCCTCAGCCCAACCTTTAAATCATTCTCGACAGCTTGGCTGGGGTGGTAGGGGCACAAAACTCTCGGAATGTGCTGGGGTGGTCGGGGGGCCGAAATCGCCAGTGCTCGAATCGCGATCGAATCGGCAGTGCTTGAATCAGGATTCGTGCTTGATTCGCCGATGCTCGAACCGCTCGGGCGCTTGAGTTGCCAGTGCTTGAATCGCGGCCAGTGCTTCAAGAGGCTTCTTACGAAACATGCACACCGGGTACCCTCATATCTGAAGCAAAGCCACGCAAAGCTTTGCACAGTCCACAGCGTAGGCCTGCCCAAGGGCCACCCTCGAATTTTGCACGTCAAAGAGGCATCTTTGGCATTTTTTTTGGTAAGGAATGGTCGGGCGTGACTTGAGGCTCCCAGAGTTGCCACGCAAACCACAATCGGTTTAGGGTTTAGCCTTAGCGGTTTTTTGGGTCCAGGGAACACATGTGAACAGATGTGAACAGGGGAGGGCCAGCCTTCTTGGCCAGGGCCGCGGAGTCGTCCTGGCACTTGGCATTCTAGGCAGTGTCTGTTATGCAACTAAGTCAACAGAACAGCTGCAGTTCTTCACAAACTTTATGATCGTTATGCCAACCTGCCAAGCACGCTGCCAGCAAGGGTTCTAAGCTAAAGGCTGACAGGGTCTCTACACAGAATCCACCGCAAGCCTGATGCAGCTCGCATCTCCAAGCATGAGCAGCGAGTTTGTTGCCTGGCCTCTAGGTTCTTGAGTCCCAGGCCCTCGAGAAACCTTAGGGCAGCACGGGGCGAAGGAAAGATGTGGCAAAAACAGTGCCGAAGCCGATGCATTCTGTTCCCAAGTCCGCTAAACTGTGAGAATCCAACAGCACCACCCTCGGGTCGGTGGCTATTTTCGGCCTATTCTTTCCATCCAGCCCACCAAGCAGCTAAGGCGCAACGCCTGAAGACATCACACCGTGGTTTCAAGAATTCAACAGGTATGGAAAGAAAGACATTGCACAAGCTTTCAAAAAACGGTTGCACTGTCCGAAGCTCGACATACCGTGAACCACGGTTGCTGGTTGTCGTGGGCTTGATTAACTTCCAGATGGTGCAATGCTGTACATGGCGCAGTGTTCCGCAATCCTCGACTATTTCCGGGTGTCCGGGGCATCGCAAAATCCCAAAAAATGCTACTTTGGCATATGCGGCAGCGACTTGCTGCCCGACAATGCCTTCCTTGCCGAGGAAAGCATTGGGACCAACAAGAAGAAGAGATCTCATGCAGAAGAAGAAGAAGCAGCCCAAGCTGAAAGCCAAGACAGTGTCAGATTGGGACGTTCGGGGGTGGAGGTTCTGAAGGCCTGTTCGGCTTCATGGTCCAAAAGGTTGTTGACCTTGCCACTTGCCAGCCAACCAGGGCTTACAAACTGTCCGGGAGGCAAAGAAGGTCCAGAAAAAACCGGCAGCGACGAGCCGAAGAGTGCAACCTACCGCCTATTGACTCAGCAACTCCCAGTGCTGCGAGGCAGCCTTCCAGGTTTTTTGAAGGGTTTCGAACGAAACGATCGGCTGGTCTGCGCCGCTCCGCACAGAGGGTTGGGGTGGGAGCAGTTGCTCCGCCTCAAACATTTGTGGACATTGCATGTTGATGCAAATGTACTCGGCCTTGGCTTGTCTTTGTATGCCTTTCGTTCTCCTTCCTTCTCTCAGGATTCAGCTTCAGGCCAAAAACCTTCTTGGTTACAGAATTTGGTTCCGATACGAACTAAACCAATGTCTGTAAACCAGTATTTCAGGCGTAGCAAGAAAATCGCTCGTTCACGCACCCGGTTGACCTGGTGCAAGCGAAGCTGTTGGTCACCAATGCCAGCCGCAGCAGAAGCCTCTGCAAGTTGCAGTGGAAACCTGAATGGTGCCAAAGAGCTCGCGAATGGAGCTGCGCGAAGTCATGAGTTGCTCTGAAAGCTCAGCGGCATGCACCACCTGACACGTCTCTGAAGCAGGTGGTCTTGAATTGTGGGATTGGACTGGGCCGGTCTCCCCTTTGCCTGGCATGCTTGCGGGGGGTGGCGGATACCGTATGGCATCGAGGCACAAGCGAGATCATGCCGCACCCTTGGGAAGGGGCTCTCTTTCGCATCATCACGTGTCGGTTCGGCCTCCATATCCGCATCAGCGGCAGTGTCGTAGTACTCTGTGGTGAGCTTGTTGACTCCCGTACCTCCAACACTCCCAAGGCTCGCTCATCAACCCCAAGTGCTAGCTGCCAGGTGGTTTCGAGCAACATGCAGTGCCACACGGTGTTGTGCAGCGGGATTCAGCAGCTCCTACCGTCTACTGATGTATGTCAGGTTGATTGCAGCCGCGCGGCAAGTCTCCGCAACAACGGTTGTATCACAAAGTGCTGGATGAGAGTCGGCTTGTTGCCTCTGCAGCCGGGCGAGAGCCCATTGATCTGACGACTGCGACACAAGCAGCCCGAACGAAAACGACAATGCTCCAGTACTGGGGGCATCTTCACTCATCCGAGAACACGATTTCAAAGACATGCCTTGTGCTTCAAAGGCCATCGGTTTCTTTGTTGCAGCTTCGTGTCCACAAACAACCGCGACGACAACAAATCGCTCAAGGGCCAAAGGGGGCTCAGACTCAGGTCGAAGAAGCAAACCGTGAGTCAATGTCGAGGTGCTGCAGTGCATGACCGTAGCAGCTTTGAGAGGTAAAGTCACCAAGACCAGCACACCAATGACCGCACCATCGACATGCTGGGTGTGAAATCACACAAAAACACCTCTTCACTGGAGGGAAAAGTGCACGAAGCTGGGTCAGTGACGCCCTCAAAATTCGCCTCGGCTTCCTGCCGAGGAGCGTTTGGAACAAGCAGACACGGATCCGGTCTCCTTCCCAAACCCAACCCTTTTCCCCATGCCAAATTTTGTGACGCACCCCCCCCGCCGTGTGGGACCCCCCCCATCGCTTGGAGGAGCTCCGGGGAGCCCTACTAGCAACGAACCCCTATCTGGGACCTTCCCTGGGCCCCCTGGGACCCTTTCTTGGAACCCCTCCTCCCCTTTTTTGAAGCCATCTTTCCTCCTTTCCTGTGGGCCGGCCCGGCTGCCGTGGCGGCGCGCGCGCAAGCGTTTACAAGTATTGTAGAGCTCGATGATTTGGAACTCTCTGAAGGAAGCTTGCCGGCAGTGATTGGGAGGTGGGGGGTCTTCATCTCTCGCTACTGATGCAGGAACAAAATCGAAACGGACATAGATGCTCAATGTCTCGTAGGCCCCCGAAGGATCCCAAAGGTTAACTGGATGTCAGATATCAAGGTCCGCGAATGGCAGGCCATGCAAGGAGTGCGCAATCTTGACATCTCACCACATGAGTGAGCGTGATCATGCAGTATGTAGGGGGCCTCTTGGCACCCGTCAGCTGGAGCGCTTGAAATGCACAGGAGCCATCCTGGCATTCGTCGTCATTCTCGAGCCAATCTCCTGACATGATGGTGTCATGCCGTGTGCAGGCCTACACACACATATACATGCTCCCAGGATGTCTTTCCCAACAGGTGTTTCGGTGTTTTTCGTCTGTCCTTGAGCAGCCGAGGAAGCGAACAGCAGCGCCAGCAAATTTCTGGAGCACCTCCACCCGAAGTTGAAAGGTACGAATCTCAAGTACTGTGCTGGCGCGCTTCAGCACCAAGCTCTGCGGAACTTGCCCTTGGCTAGCTGAAACAGGTGTGCTAACCCAATGTCTCCTAAGGAGGGGCAGCCGCCAAAGGCGCTCAACGACAGTGAGGCACGACACCGTCGAAGGGGGCTTTTCTGGCACACCTCACATCCTAAGAGCAGTGTCCGCGATGCTTCTTCTTGCATTGGAGTACACACCCGAGCAGCCAAGCCTGGCATTTAAAAGCTTGCCAATAAGAACCCGGGCCCCGGAGCAGCCCACAACATCAGGGTGTTTATGCCTGCGACCCTCAGATCGGGCCTCCATGGATTCATAGGAGTCTACGCAAAGAAGCGATGTTGGCCTTAAGAGGTGTGGGACGGTTCAGGAAAGCTTTCGACTCACACACGCGCAAAGGTGCCACCGAACACCGAATCACCCTAAGACCCTAAGTCGCAAAAAGCCCAACGAGCAACTCAGCAAGGCAATGGTCTTCCATGTCACAGCTGGAAGTATACAAGTCTGCCCAAACTCAGGGGCGTTTCCAGCCGAACTCCGAGCGGACCTCAATGGATCTTACGACGCCTCTGCAGGTAAGCGGCAGGGTAATACAAAAGGATACGTAGAAGCGAAGAACTTGAGCCGCAAAGCCACGGATATATGACAAACGGGCAAGCCAAGCACAGTTCTCTGCCTGCAGGCTGCTGACTCGATTCTGGAAACTCAGGGTTTAGGGTTTAGGGTTTAGGGTTCAGCTGTCAGGGGAATCACCGACTGAGAGCCTCCCGGTACCAGGTCTGGCAGGGAATCACCTCGGTGCCGCCCACCTGGTCAAAGACTCACAAAGATCGGCATCTTCTGTTCTTACGCTTGCCCCTCCCGCCCGTCCCTTTGATGTAGGAGGTCTTCGTCCAAATCGATGTGACAGGGCACATCAAAGGAAGCAGTCTCCGCCTGGACGCTGAAGGCGAAGCTCAGCCGAGGAGCAAGCCTTGGGGTACTTACAGCGCCTTACAGTCTTCTTACAGTCTTCCGCGACACCAAGGAGGCAACCGGACTGAAGACCGAAAGTCTACTTGGGTTCGGAGTGTTTGGAGTAGGGCAAACAAAACCCTGCCGCTCAGGAAAGCGCCTTCTGAGCCTTACACGAAGCCTGTCAAGCTGTACAAATACCAAACTCGCGGCCGGTCTCGTTTTCCGGTGCTTCGGGCAGGTGGCTCGGCCCAGAAGTAGATGACCGAGTCGCCCTGCCAATCTATCAACACTTGATCGGGCAAGCACTCAAGGTGCTGCTGCATGACATGAGCCATCGATGCAAGGGGGTTCACCGTGCCAGCATGTGCCAAATTGGCCAGAAGAGCAGTACAGCAGTATCTACGTAGAACGAATATGCTATGTGCAGAGGAGTCGCGAATGCTCGTTTCAAGGCAACTACGGCAGTCGCTGCACATCTGGCATGCCTTGTACCTTTATCCATACCAAAAATGCATCTTAGAGTCCGACATGCCTGCCTTACTTTCCAAAGCAGTGCCTTGTGAAAGGATGAGGCAGCTTGCGCACAGGCAGCGCTGTTGGACATGGTGTGCGAGAGGCTACGGGGCTTACAAAGGACACGGCGTGTGCCTTCACCGCATCTCCATCCCCTGCTGGGTATATGCCTGTCATTGGCATGAGGACACCACGCATGTCGTTCAGTCCACGCATAGTGAAGCTTCTTGGAGAGAAGCTACCTGTTACTGCTAATGTTGCAGAGATGGCAGGCAGGAAGGAATGAGAAGCTGCTGCAGCAAACCTTCAACTCACTCTCCCAATTCTCAGGACACCTCTCTGACCTCCCCAAACTCGAAACTCCGCACCTGACTGCTAAATCGCGTCTCTCGCCCCACACCAGTGGGCACAAGAGCCCACCAAAGTCCCGTCCCCAAGGGCCCTTAACCGAACCCAACCCTTAACTCTTAACCCCCCCGCACCCTTTCCAGTCGGAGTGGCGGAAAGTTACTTGCGCGAAGGGCCCCAAAGAACTGGAAGAGCTCTGCCACCACTTCCTTAACAGGTTTCGGCTCTCGCACTCGCACGCAGCAGGCAAGGATTTATTAAAACAGCCAAAGGGCCGCTGCGGTCGCAACTTCGGGCCGCCTCGCCGAGGTGCTTCCTGCCCACAAGCGCACACGGAACTGTATGCTCTCCCCATCTGACTCTCACAACATGTCCATATCTTGAAGCTTTTTTTGGGGTTGCGTGGCCAACCGTAGGGTTGAAGGCTCGTGGCTGTCAAGGGCTGCCCCTGCCCCATGACCTTGGCACCTACGAATGGGGAATGCATGAGAGCAGCGGCTGAACTGCTTGTGCCTGCGCCAGCAGTGGCAGGGCATCGGGAACTTCCCAACTTGCCACCACCTTTGAACATTCAAACCATGATTTCAAACCATGCTGAAATAGATTCGCACAACTGATGGCCTCCATCTTGCTGAATGACAAAAAGAGTAGGTTGAGTATGGCTCAGTCTCGGACTTGCCGCTGCAACAGCGCATCATCCATCGATCTCCTGGATGGAGAATTTAGCCATACAAAAGCCGACAAGGAGCTCAACTTAAAGGAACAACAAGAGGGCAATGCTTTTGTTGGACGTCATTGGCAGGCTGTCGCAAACCAAAATGAATGTTCAAGGCTGCATAATGTGCGGCAGCTTATCTGATGAAGTCATCGGGGCATTGCTACAATCACAGCCCAGGCACGTCTTCAACGAACATCAACATCATTGTAGCAAAGGCACTACCTACTTAGCGTCCTGCTCCATCGCTCGGCAAAGCCGACCCCAACGACGCAAGCTACACACGAAGCCGGCTTTGCTCAGAGCCCCGAGGTTCCCGAACCAGCCCCAAAGTCTCGCCGAGGTGCTGCAGGTGGCTCATCTTGGCCAGGAGCCCCCGCAGCTTTGCCAAGTCTCGGCTGTGGACCTGCTGCTTTTCACGACATCCCTAGCGCAAAGTGAAGGCAACTTTAACAACGTAGCTGAAGCCTCTTTGCCACGAATTCAGGTTGAGCCATAGCCACTCTGCAGAGCTTTATGTGTGGAGGTGGAGGAGCCTTCAAAATTTACGAGCGGAGCTCTGCAGGAGTGAGTGAACACAGACCAGCACTTCTGCGGTGGCCGCTTGCTCGCGTCGCTCTCGGACTTTGTACGGAGCTCCAAAGGCGTCATCCCTGTTCAATGCTCGGTCAAACATCTTAGAACTCTGCACTTGGAGGCTGACGGCCTCGGCGTGCCCGCATCCCTGGACCCCCGCCGCGGATGGGAGCAGTGGAGGTTTGCCCAATGCGGAAGGGCAACTCATGGCACAGCTGGGGCGAATCCGCTCGTCGGGCTGCCAACTGGCTGTACTAAGGAGTCTTTCAAAAGCCGAGCACCCCCCTCCTTTCCCGGGTTAGCGGCCAGGCACCAGCTGAAAACGGAAATATCCCGGTCGAATAGAAACAAGCAATGATGGGAGTTGGCTCTGACTGAAGCCTTTCACAAGCAGACAGGACCTTTTGCTACTCTTCTCGATACACGAACCCGCATAAGGTCGCAGCGGCCCTACAGGACAGGAGCGCGGCACGGGAGAAACCGACTTGAAATCTGATGGGGTTTGTCTCTAGACAAGATGCATGGAAGTAGAGACTCGCGGCGCCGTACGACGTGTGGGGGCGCATTTACAATGCAAGCTCGCAGGCCGATTTGGACATGGTACTGTGCGAGGTGCGCTGCTTTGTGACCGCAAAGTTTGGCATGCGAGAAGTAGAATTGGGGCTTGGCGATCTGTTACAGTGTTTTGTAGGAAAGCTAAATGAAATAAAGATCTGATGGTATCCGCGCAGGTATCCGTGCAATTATCTGTCTGCCTAAAAGCCAACCAGCTCTTGGTTTGCTTACTCTTCCGCAGTACTTCGCTTTTGATGATGTGGTTCCGATCTCGAAGATTGCTTGCTTGAGTGGATCATATTTGTCTATTCTGAAGATGTGTCTTAGTAGCTTCATGCTCTGAATTGCCAACATCAGAAGGCTCCCACCCTACAAATAACCCAAGTTGCACCACACCCCACAATCCTCGACCTTTCATGGCTGCTAGGGACCTGTACTTTTGCATCGGGACTTGCTGACCGTAAAACCCCAAACCGTGAGCCGTAAAAAGTTGCAATTTGCCTTAGTTTTCATTCCAAAGCCGTTAACGACCCCGGCCCTTGGCATCTGCTACACCGACCTTGGGCCGGCTGCGGGACGAAGGCGGCCTGCATGGGCACCACGCGTCTATTCTTCTGCTTTCTTCGTCTTCTCTGTCAAAGCTTGTACTCTCATCTGCTCCCTCTCCTTCTTACCCCGCAGGACAAGGGCTAGCTGGCCAGGGTTGTTGCAGATAGTCTCTGTTAGTTCCGATCTCCCTCCGAGTGCCGCGGTTTGCATGAACCAACGTCCATGAAGGGCGCATCGTTGGCCCCCCTCGAATGTTGGTTTAAGGGATGAGGGGCCTCTCTCATCCTTTCTCTCGGGCTTGAGGGGCGGGGGGCTGGGGGGGGAAAAGGGTGACAGCGCCCCAAACACGACCCAAGCCGAGCAAGTTTCATGGACTTGTGCGAAAAGGCAGTGTTGGACCTGTTGAGAAAGGAGGTCTTGTCAAGCTGGACAGCCTCGTTAAGAGGCACGGAATCCATCGTAACATACCGTGACCGCCATCCGTCGCTGGCTCGATGGCGGGTCCTCTTCTCAAGTTTCTATCCAAAAAGCGACACCGCCTGCTTGCCAACGAAGACTTGAGCCGTTTATGGAGATCTGGGCTTCATCTTTTCCACTGATGGTCGGCCTTTGCCTCGCACTGGCAACGTCGGCACGGTGCTGCTGCAAAGATTCTTCAACCTGGGACTGGGAGGTTCATCCATCAATCACAGTTTTTGCAGGTTTCACGGCGCTTGGCTTTCCTGTCGCGGGTTGAAATTTGAAAACTGACCGTTCGCCTCACTACTGTAGGGTTCCCGCAAGGGTCTGGTCGGTTCATACTGACAACTCCGAGTCCATCTGGTGCTTTTCCCTACACTTCCTCAAGGTCCTTATCTGAAGACGCCTGCCCCTGAGATCCCGACGAAGTCTGCAGAAGACTGGAGTCGCTTACGCAGTGCGGTGTAGGGCTCCGCGAGGCCCAGGGCCTTGCTGGACTTCTCGATTTTGCTTACTGGCAGCTGATTCCTTTCCTTCAGCCAGTGCATGATAAGTCGGGAGGAGGGGCACGCAATGGGATGAATCGGGAGAGTTCAAGGCTATGGTCTATGCCAAAGCCCTTCTGCGATGCCATTCGCTTTCGGGGAGCGGGCCAGCAACCGATACAGAGACCCACTGTTGCTTTCGGACCCCCCAGCTTCAGGGCTCTACATCCTAGATGTCCCCATTCAGAAGCGAAGCCTGAACAAAAGGCTCTACCAGGCAACATGACGGCATCTTCTTTATGCCGAGCTTCCTCCACTAAGCATGTGGTGTGCGGGTGCATCTTGCAGTGCTCCTGCAGTGACTGCGAGTGTTCTCAGAATCCTCGGAGTTGCCGAGCTCAGGTTCACATTAGGTCAGCCAGGTTGGCTTTCAGTTAGCTCCTTTCAGCTCTTTCAGGGGGCAAGGCGACTGTTTAGGATCCCGATTCTGCGGTGGCCTTTTTTGGTGGAGCTGGGTTCGCCATAATTCCGGCCCTTGCCCAAGGTTCTCCACACGCACCTCCCCCCGCCCCCAGCGTCGACGCAAAGTAGTACATCCTCGTCCCCGATGCATTCGCCCCACCAGCTTGAATCCAAGCCGTCCAAGCCTGCGCTCGGCAACTGGAAAGCTTGACGTTTTAACAGATGTTGCAATGGGGGTCGACCGCATTAAGATCTTGCTGGCCCTGCCAGAAAAAGTTCGGAAGGAGTGCCTCATATTCATACCTTGGTGTCAGGGCTTGGGTTGGATGAACATTTAACATCTTTCGCATACGGAGCTGCGTTTTCAGGAATCGAACAACGCTCTTATCACCTCACAGCCCATGACAAGCATCAGGTCCGTCCAGGCATTCCTCTTTCCCTCTTTCAGCCATGAATGCCTAAACCCTAAACCTTCCAAACTCGGAAAATAGCAGCGCCCCATAGCCAAGGACGTCAAAGCTGTCAGGCATAGGAACCAGAAGAAGCCTTCAGACACCCAAGTGCAAGGCCTGGATTGAAGAAGCCTCTCGGTTCCCTAGGCACTCCCCCCGACCACTCTGGCCTTGGGCGACGACTGGGGCAGTCTCCACATGAGCCGACTCTGCTGCCTGTAGGGGGGGATGCAGGCTTTAGGGTAAGGTCTCAGGGGAACCCTAAACCCTAAAGGGTACGATCTGGACCGCAGTAGCAGTAGCGCAGAGAAGGTCTGTGTTTGTTTTTGTGGCTTTGTTCAATAGCCTTCAACTAACACGTGGAGCTGCTGGCTGCTGGGAATGATCGAGCACTATGCGTGTGCAAGCGCTTCTTGGGGTCTTGGGTTCAAGGCCTGCACCGATGCCTTGGCATCCGCTGATGGCACACCTGGGAAGGAAAATTCGATCAAGCCAAGCGAGGGGAACGCAGCTGAAAAACAGTCTTCTGCAAAACTGCGCGGGCTTTTGGGCCTCTCAGCTTGGCAGCGACGCGGCAGGGTGGTCCTGTCACCTGCAGTCGCCGCAGCGCGAGCTTGCACTCAGCTTGCCGGTTGCATTCAGCTTGCCCTGACACTGTTGTTCCTTGTTCAGGGCTGGGCTGCGATGCAGTGCAGAACATTTTGTGAACACTGACCTGTTCCATCGCCTGCGCAGTTTTGGACAGCGCTGCGATTCGACAATCCGAGTCGTCGGGATACCTGGAGACAGAGCCGGAGACAGCAGTCTGTGCCAGCGCGACTGAGATGCCGTCAAAGAATCTAAGCTGCGTGGTGCATTTGCCTGGCTACTCTCGGCGAGAGGTGTTGATCGTAATTATCGTCCGCAAGGGCTTTGCAGTAAGCAGCCCGTGTTCAGCTTGGCGTTTTGAAAGCTGAAGATGCCACAATCATAGGGCTCTTTGCACAGATGATAGAACCGAACGGGACCTATCCGAAACCAAGCAGACCTGGCGGAACGAAAAAACAGACACTTGGGCTCCCGGGCGGCGGGAGGCTGTGAACCTCCATCGGATCAAAGCCATGGTACGCTTCACAAGGTGACAGTCGAGGGTGTTCGGGGCACGTCTGGGCGGCCAAAAAGAGACTAAGCCATACCTTTCAAAAGCCTGAAGCCCGTTCAAGGTGGGAGACTCCCCGAATGTACAGCTTGAACTGCGTACGGGGAATAGAGGCCACTGAGTACATGAGCACTGCATTTCCGTAGTTCTCTATATGCTTCGCTCGCTTCAACATAGGTGGCAAACTCACCCACAAGATATTCAGCCACAAGGATGCGCCATAAGAGGCCATGTCAAGGCTTTGTCGAGCAAACATAGCCTGAGCTGAAAACCCGAAGGCATGCCTTATTGAAGCGAACACACAGCCACAGTACAGCCGCGAACAGTGAGGGTGACGCGCCTAAGTCTAGCAGAAGTGGCCTAGAGCGGTGTCTCAGCGAGGCAAACTATCTCACCAGTTCGCTGGAAGCTCGCCAGGCTGTCCACATCAGTGACGAAAACATTCCAATTATTAGCGTTGCACCTAGCATGCTTCACGCGAGTATGCAAAAGAGCATTGCCTCGATGATGGCGAAGTGCTCAGGATTGGACTAGGCAGTTGATACGTGGACTAGGCAGTTGATACGCCCAGGTGGTCGTAGTGAAATTCATGGTAGCATGGTAAAAGTTGTGAACGCGGTAAACGGCCAGTATGGGCTCTATTGCAGGCCCACGATTTGAAGGTGGCAATGGACATGTATGCAAAAGCGGCAGAGCGGCAGCGGCAGCAGCAGTGCTAGGAGGAGTAGGGGTCAAATGCAGGAGAAGCCCTTCCCGCCCCCCGCACCCCCACTAACTGTGCTGGCGATGTTAGGGTTTAGGGTTTAGGGTTTTTTTTTGCCACCCGCCTAGCAGACCCCCTCTGGGATCACTCCGCAGGGAACAATCGTGATCTCTCGTACGCGTCTTCAGCAAAAAGGGCCCCGAGACACCCCCAAGGGTTTAGGGTTTAGGGTTTAGGGTTTAGGGTTTAGGGTTTAGGGTTTAGGGCTCCTGGGCCTCCGGGGCCTCGCCCGTCGCCTCGGTCACCGGGGTGGCTGCCTCCGGGAACAGTGGTTGAGGGTTCAGTGTTTATGTAGGGCTTATATGGGCCTTTATAGCGTTTGTCAAGGGTTTATATAGGGTTTAGGGTTATTTTTGCCACCCACATAGCTGACACCAGCACCACTCCGCAGAAACAAGTCGAAGGTACTCGGGAGACACAGGGGGACACTTGGGCAGGCGGGTCAAACCCCAAACCCTAAACCGTAAACCCAAACCCTAAACCCTCGAGAGCCACGCACCCCTCGCCGGCGCAGATCATCAAGCTTCAACGAAACTAGCCCTCAACTAGGCCGTATCTAAGCTGCCTGGTAGCCAGAAGAGCTACCATATGGGTTCCCAGATGGGTTCCCAGATGGGTTCCCAGATGGGGTTCCCAGATGGGTTCCCAAAGGGGTTACCATGGTTTGCCCGGCACATCTTGGAGCAAAAGCCCCCCCGATCATCGCGCCTGGACGGCGGCGTCTCTCACCAAGGCTCGGCGCCGGCCGTCCCAGATCGGGACGATGGAGTTTGCCTGCATCACACTGTGCAGGAGACATCGTAGGGCAGTGTAACAGTTTCAGCAGAATAGAAAAGGTACCAGAACCGTACTGCCAGCATCTCTCTGCAACAGCAGCCGCATTGTGCAGGTAGCCATATCATTTTTTGATTTTTTGAGGGGGGGGGGGTCGTTCATGCAATCGCGCTCAACTGTAACATGTCAGGCGAAGCTTCGTAAGAAGGGCGGGCAGTGCCTTCGACCACGCACTTTTCAGCACATTGGAATCAGGCTATTGATTGCTAATCGAACCGTCGCTCGGTAACGAGCAGTGGCTTGTCCCATTGAGGATCCCAATGTCTTTGCTTTTACTATACACACCTAGTGTTTGGAAGTCATCAACAGCAGCTCGCCTGGCTGTCCGGGGAGAGCCAGTCCTGGCAGGAAGAGAAGCATTTTTGCTAGGACTCATGGCTTTTTGAGCAATGCTGCTGTTGTTGATTTGTTATTGATTCCTTGTGGGTTAAAGGTAAAGAATCCGTCCTTGAGTCCTAGAAGTACGAGCGCCCCAGCTATTCCGATCTCCTCAATAAAAGGAAAGGCTACGGCACATCATCTGCAACGCACAGTGCCGGGCAGTCAACATCACAGCTGTTCTGAAAGTTTCACTATCGCTGATCGTCATCGTTAAACCTACCAGCCCCATATTTCCAAAGGCAAAATAATGTACACGTGTCCAGAAAGTTGACCCACTGAAGAGGCCCCGAAGTCCGAAGTCCTTGAGGTCTGCAAACGTTGTCGGAGGCCCCATGCGCGCATGTTCCAAAAGGCTCTATAAACACAGGAGATGTTTACGACCTCTGTAGGCTTCTGTGGTCGGCTAGGTGGTCGGATCATGCAAGTAGCTCGGAGTCATCGATGTCAGATCCGACCCGCAAACGGCAGGCAGGAAGTCCTATAGCATCCCATAAGCCTTGTTGATGGTACCTCGATGTACGAGTAGCTGGCTGTTGCAAGCTGTTGCAAACTGTTGCAATCGACGTTCTGAAACTGTGGCTCCCCATTTGCCAAGAGCTACTTTGAGCCCGTCTGGCGTAGACAGCTGCCAATGCTGTCAATGTCGTCTGCGCATCCTAGATCATCCGAGTCATGGCCGCACCATGGTGTATAGGAGTTGGCCCAAGAACTTCTCAAACTTTTTTGGCTTACTGCACGCCGGTGACGGAAAGGTAGCGCTCGAACGGCAGCTCCTGGTCAGAATGAAAGCAGAGAGATGGCATCTGAGCACGGCTCGAAGGCCTGTCAACGCAGTCAACCCAGGCCCCTTTGCACAAAGGCATGTGCAAAACATCATGCTTGATCCGGACCGATCTGCCCATGTTCCAGCTTCTACGGGGCTTGGAAACGGCTGTATGGGCAGTAGTTTGGTGTTTCAAGACATGGCATGGCTCTGGTGCAAAACTCGACCCTGGAAACGGGAATCGATACACTTTGCTTTCAACCCTGTTTCCTCCTGTAACAGTTTGAAGGGGGAATTGGAGTTTAGACTCCAAGACGTGGGCCGTGAACATGAGCCCGGTCTGCGGCCACTTTCGCAGTTCTTTAGCGCACCTTCCGCCAAATACGCTACTTTTTCAAAATTGTTGCCATCTGTGGGATCGAGTGCCTGGCTGAATTTCGGGTTTCGGATCCGCTTCTCCGGTGGCGGCCAACGTGCGTGCGACCTTTCTTTGGGCGCGCACACCGCGGCATTGCACAATTGTGGGCTTGAGAACTCTGCGCCTGCAGATTGTCGGCTTCCTCTTAACAAGTCTGTTACCTTAAGCTTTCGCAGATCCCGCCTTTGTTTTCGCAGACACATGGCCAGACTTTCGCAGGCATGCTGTCTCACATGTTGAAGCTGCCGGAATAGAAAGACAAAGACACCGGACCTTGTGAACAGGTTGTGTGTAACGCGCACGAGGCAAATCTATGCCAGCTGAAAACAAGAAGTTCTGCATCCTCTTTCAGAACTTCAAGAGCCCAACAAAGTACGACAAGTTCTGCATAGCTCTTCGCTGCATAGAAGGTGTGCGCGGAAGCGTCCCTGGCCCAAACGTGATCATTCAGTACAGATTTGCTGCGGGGCGTGTGCATACCCAGGTATTCAACGACCTACACCTGCACATGGCACGATAAGAAAGAAGCCCCAATCCAGAGAAGAATCATTAAGCACATCCTTTCACAAGCTGTTCTTGAATTCCTGCATGTTCCGCTCTTTCCTGTGGACGGTCTAGTGCTCTTGCGAACCAGCAATGTCAGGAACGTTCAACAGGTTCGGCACAACATACAGTAGGCAGCCTCGGGCTGGGAACCAGTCCTGACCATCGAAGTCCAAGGGAATTGGATGGCGGCAAGGTCCTGCAGGTCACCAAAGCAGATTCCGCAACTTGTTCAGCCAACACAGGCACGGCGGCAGAGACATCAGGCACGTAGTGGTATGTGCTCTGCAAGTCTGCCATTCTTCTGTTGCATAGCTAGGGCACCCTGCCTGACGTTGCAGACTGCTCGTACGGGCGCCCAGAGCGAAGAAGCTGACAGGGAAGGACAAGGTTAGGGGTTCTCAATGCTGGGACTGTATTTCTGTGGACCTGGACGGACGGGAGCCGCCAATTTTCCAAGTGGGTCTAGAGCCCCAATCCTAAACTGGGAAGTGGCGCTAATTTGAGTCAAGCAAAACACATACTGAGTAATCCGGTCAAACCCCCTAGGCCCCAAGACTGGCACCGGGAATGCTATGCTCGTGAATTGAAGGGACATACTGGTGCCGGGAAGTGTATTCACACCTTGCTTCCAGCTTGCTCACGGCACAGCAGATAATTTACTTTCATGGCCCAAGTCAGAGCCTGGCAGTCTACCCCGCCGCCTGTGGTTCATTCCCCCATAGCTTTTTGTAGTTGAAGGGTAGCCAACTCCTACTGACCTACAGCGTTTCTCACACCGAGGCACTGCACCTTTGGTCACTTTGGGTCCAGTGAGCTGGCGGCAACAAAGGCTCCCAAAGCGACTGCGCACCAGCACGCGAGCCTGGGCCGAATAGTTGGCGAAGGTTTTCTCGACACTTAAGCCATCCCAACCAAATATACTTCATGGGGTTTGCTTCTGTTCTCGAAAAAACGTCGGGACTGTGTGGCGACATCTCGCTTCTCACCCACGCACGCGCAAATCGCAGATCTCCAACGCCGCACGAAGGTGCTCCCTCCTGCTACTTCGTCTTCTGGGGGTCGAGGCTTGCCTTTCTTCCCTCACCCCCCGCCCGCGCGCCAGCGCCCCACGATAGAAGTTACTTCCCCCGACAACCTCCATTCTAATTGCTCCTAAACTGCTCTCAACCTAGTTTTCCAGTCCCACTGCTGTCGCTGCACTCGCTCTTAGCACTTCTTCTCCCGCTCGCAGTTGATAGCGCCTGCTTTCTTGGGCGTCAGGTCTTTCCAGCGGGCTCGCCGCGGCTTCGGGGGCATCGTGAGAGGTCCACCGCGATGAGGTTTCACACGGCAGCGGGCTTGCTCGTGCTGACTCATTAAGAGTTCCTCCCCTCGATGGTCTTTTTCGTATACATGCCGGTTACCCCTGGCTCGCACAATCTGGAGTCAGAGGGTGCCACGCCATCGCTCCCAACTGTTCGGGAGGGGGGAGGGCGCCCGGAGGCCACTGCTCTTGCCAGAGAAACGTCACCCTCCCCCCAATGCATCAATCATTCCCCCTACCCGCCCGTTTCTCTGGTATGCGACCTGTGCATGGCTCTCTTGCTCTCTCACATCTCTCCCTCTCCCTCTCAACCGACACACTTTTCGCGTCCTGTAGGGTTCAGGGCCGAGGAAAGCGCTGGGCATCACTGCAAGCAGCCGCCTACCACATGTCGATCTACCGGCATGCGTTCTAGGCTTACATTTACCGACATCTTACCATTAAAACACAGAGCCCATTCATTGATTGCCGGCGGCCTCGTCGGCCTCCAAGACTTCACCCACTGCCGCCTCCTCGGCGGAGGGATCCTGCGAGAATGACACCCAGACCATGTAGGGCCAAAAACAACACAAACCAACCATCGGGGCTTAGGGTTTAGTGTTTACGCTCATATCTTGCCTAGTGAATGTTTTTGTTTACTGCCAGCTGATTCAAAAAGGGAATCACCACCACCACTCATGGGACTCAACCTCGGACCCCTGAGGTTGTAGCCTTGGGTTTGAGCACCCGTTTTACAGATCCTCCAAAGGAGTAAAGAGGCCATAGTCGGAGCATATTAAGGGGTGCATCCCTGGGGTCCGAGGATGACTTCCTTGAACAACAGCAAGGCATCTAGGCACTGCGAGCCATAACCTGCTTGGGGCACAAGATCCTCGTCGAGGGGCCGCGCGGAATCGACAGCGAGAGATATTGCCTTGACTCTGGGAGCTACGAACAAGTTCAAGTGTCGAGCCCACTGCCACACCAAAGCCACTACCAACACTGCTAGCAGAGTCTGCAGGGTCAAGGTGTGCACCACAGATGTCCTGCCAAGGAGCCTCGCCGTCTTCCTGCCCACATCTCAATACCAGAACATGATGCTCCAGGCGACTGTCGAGCTCAGTTGCTTCGGACAGAAAAGCCATGCATAGCATGTCGCAAAGCACGTGGCAAGATTTGCCAGCCTTTAGCATCTCCCTCTGCTTCTTTGGAAATCCCGGGAGCACCTCAAGCCGTGTCCGCCCAGGTAGGTATGGCGCAAAGTCCAATGCCTTTGAGAAGAGGATCAGGAAGTCGTTGCTCCTCAGTGCTGAACGACTTATGTCGCACCCCACAGACCATGCTACAGGGGCTCTATAATAAGTACAAAATAACTGCAGAATATGAACAAGGCAAAGACCCCTCAGAACGGCAACGAAAAACAGAACTCTCGTTCAGCCCGCGCTCCAGTAGAACGAGAGCCATCCATCATTGGGCATGCCCTTCGTGTGGTAGACGTCAAGGCCTCAACAGCCCAGTGCACTTCTCCACATACTTCCCCGACCCTGCCAAACGAATCTGGCATGGCTTGAGATGCCGACCCCAACCGTCAGAAACTGATTTTCCACCCTGGCTACAAAGCAGTTGTATTGGGTCCTTCAAGCGCATCGAGACCCTCGGCCAGGTGAGAATGCCACGTAAACAGCCAACCGAGGCTGCGCGCCCTGAACATTTTGAGCCGCGCTATGCGCGAGGCATCGGGCTTCGAGAAATCTCCGTGCCATGATGCGCCTCGGCACGGCACCAGGGCTACTCCAGCAGCGAAACGCTCCAAGGCCGCGGGAAATCGCTGCACCTTGCTGAGCTTCCAGGCTTCAGTGGTTGAACAGCCGACTGGGTCTACACATTGGTGTAATAGGTGTCATGTAGCTCCAACAAACTGATGATCTGTTGCTCTGACATTGTCTTTCGTCTGCTGGCCAGCACTTGGCACGCGCAGCGATCAAGCACAGTCATACCTCGAAGACGACAAGGAAGGCTAACCTGCTGCAAAGTCGCAGCTGCTTGGGCCAGCGCGTCGTAAATCTGGTCAGCAGGAAGAATATGAAAAAGGATGCGATCACGAGTTGGCAAAATGACAAGGTAAAAGAAGCGCTACGTCGTGAAGCGTGATGCTGAATATGAGGATGCTTTGAAGAAACGTCTGGACCCATGTATATAGCCTCTTGGCCGAGCAAGCCGGGACCTAAAACTCTAAACACGCACAACATTCGCAAACCCATGACTGAATGTTTGTCGCGTCTGCAATCTCCGAAACAACTCCGCCCTGACATTCCGACACCTGAACTCTTTCCCCATCAGCCTACCCTTCTTCTCCCCCTTCTGCTCTTTCACCCTGGCCTGGCGATTGTTCAGGCCACCAAGCCCCGGGACCTTAGGATGCGTTTTTGGGGTCAAGTTAGAAGGTTCTGCAATCGGTTGGGCGCCTGTTATTCTGGGCTCACTGTGCAGTTTGGCAAAGTAGACACCAAGCAGAACATATCCAGGGTGTGTGAGGTTCGGAGTTTTGCCTGCTGTCTAGCTGAATCAAGCATCTCCCACCATGAAGCAAAGGCCACCCGTCCAGTAGGCCGCTGCCGCTAACAGGGCAGCCATACGCAAGAGGCTCGTTTACACGGCGAGCACTTAAAGGATGCACAATGATACATTCCCGCGTGCAAGACAGTGTCTGCTCTGTGCACTGCAGGGATCTGCGAAGTATCGTTGGCCACTACACAGAGAGGGTATGGCCTCAAACATGTCGACGATGGGCCCATGGTCAATGGCCTCTCCGACCTTTGCAACACAGATAGTCAGCAACTGCAGTACGCCGAGCAGAACGCGGCAATATGGAAGGACACAGGGCATCATAGTCATAGTACACATACATGAATCTTGAATAGTGGCGGTGACCCAGTTCAGCATGGACAGACAGCAAGATCAGCGGCATCCAAGCGACCAAGTATGTGGTGTAGCCCTGCAGCAAGGGTCTCGTGTTGATGGGTAGGCGTTGTGCTTTGCACACTTGGTCCATTCTTGACTGCTGGTCTACCAAAAAATCTGTGAAGCAGTTGTTCTCCACTTTGCATGACTCTCAGAGTCAATGGGCCTGCTGCCGCCCGTGGAGCTGAGCCCAAAGCGTGGGACAGCAGCCGCGGTTCTGGGGCCTTGAAGGGTTTAATCGCAGTTATTCAGAGGTTCATGTCGGCTGCCTAGCCATGCTGTGCTAGTGATTACCGGTATCGACTTGTCCGTTGGAACTTTCAAGTCCAGGGCGATGAATCGGGCAACATATCTAGCAGATTCTAGCAGTAGCAATCCAAAACGCAGTGAGATGTCACAGCCCTGTCATCGGAGAGAAGATGATCGATCCAGCACAGGAGCTGGTGATATCGTCTCGTATCATAGATGGTAGGTTGTCCCTCTACAATTCAAGGCAGGCACGAAGCCTCCAAACATTTACGACCGACTCACGATTTTCCCGGTTGGGACACCCTATTTGCAAGCGTCGCGACTTTGTGACTCTCACGGCAATGTCGGCTGTTCAACAAGTCCATCATGCTGTGGACTTGAAGTTGTAGGGTTCCGGACACACACGTGCAGGACCCCCAAAAGAAGAAAGAAGCTGCGAAGCGAATTCTTACTGGAGCAATGTTCAGACGCGTTGGCTCGTTAGAGTGGTGACTGTACACGTTCGGAATGGGATTTGTTGCCGGGTCGCAGTAGCCCGAGGTGGGTGTTGATAACGCCATGCTTCGGAGCTGACAAGAAGGCCTTCTTGAGAATGCCATCCTTGGACAAGATGTTGCAACCCACACTCCCCTGGCGTTCGCAAGCTCACAGTTTGCTATCAAACAGGGCATGCCATATCTGCCGCTGGATGCGAGCAATTCCGGCATCGGGCTGCCCGAAATGTTGCAGCCAGGCATCGTAGCCGCCTATAACAACCAGATCGGTGCGACTCGCTCGATCTACCATGCTTTGTGAATTCGCATCCACGCTGCCAAGGTATGGTATGCCTTGGATCCATGGATTGGGAAAGCGCTGGCAGCATCATGACGCACGTCCACGCATTCCACTCTGGATCCGTGACGTGATGGACATAAAAACTAGGAGTATTTGCAAGCAAGCTGCCGTGGGATTTGCAGAAATCCTCCTGGTGCTTGCACACGAAGGGAAAACTCGACCCAATCAGCTCACACTCAGCCTTGGGCCTTCACCACACCTGATGCCTCATGGTGATGAGCTACATGAACACTGGTTTGCAAGAAGCTCTCATTTGAAATCCAATCGTTTTGTGGCTTTGCCAACCTCCCAAACAGTCGAAACCGAAACGCATGCTCTCACGTTACCCTCCTAGATGTGACTGAGGAAGGATCAGGAACTATCTGTCATGTACATGGAATCTGCACGGACTACGATGTAGTAGGAGGTAGTTGCTTGCATTGGCTTGCATCCCTGAGCAGCTCTGTAGAGGGTCCAGCTTCTGGTGCAAGTCCGTAGCGTGGGCAACCGCATTCTTTTTGGCTGTGGCAAATGCCACCTGACCAATTGAGTACGACACCCGGACACTGTATGCAAAGCACCGTTCTAGCATCTTCTCATGCTGGGCTGTTGCAAAGATGAATGACCCAATAAAAACGCTGAACGACTCAAAACCCACCACTTGCGGTTTTCGTCTGACACTCTGCACGTCGAGGGTTTCGGGCTGCGGCTGCGTGTTTTCACAGGGTGAGAATGGCCTCGTACCGTGAAGCCAACACTTCCAGCCTGACGGGGTGTGCGAGTGCATACAAAGACTATGACTGTTGCAGGGCTTTAGCTTGACTCAACTGAAATATGAGAGGGGCCCAGAAAGCACACTTCATACTGCGCCTCTCGACCCCATTCCCGATGAGCCGCGCAAGTCCTGCTTATCCTGAGCCCCGTCTCTTCGTGCTGCCGTGGAACTGACCCAGGCCATAGTCCTGACGTGGTTCGCCGCTGCTCTGCAAACTTCTTTGCTCACTCGCTCAGCCCTGTTCTGGTGCCTGCTGTGATGGCATGTCATGTGCTTATATAGGCGATGGTGCATCTGAACTCCGATACGTGGTTGGACAACACCAGCAGCAGCAACAGATGATACAGTCTTGCAGGCTCGGCTTACGTACTTCTATTTTTCTCTCGGAGGGCATGAAATGCATGTTTTCCATCTCACCAGCGCTGAGCCCACCCTGGCTTTCTAGACCTCCTGCGGCCCAGGCAGAGTCCCCGTCACGTGCCGGATCTGTTGCAACTGGCAGGCGTCGGTGTAGCTGTGTCGAAAACCCTGGCCACTACTGTACCGCGCTCGCAAAAGCACTTCCCCCGGAAGGTCATGGGAGCGACCGGTAAAGGCCTCCTCTGCGGCTTTGGGTTTGACCCACCTTTCATCCAAAAAAAATCCACTTGACACTTGTTGGCATGTAACGCTTTACAATCGGACCGGGTCGCGATGATGTTTCTCTCCGTTTTGGTTTCGCAACTAGGCAAGGGGGTTGGAAGCAGCTTGCCACAATGACAGGCATCCAAGGGTGCTGAACCCATGTTTACCGGGCAGATTCACGTGTTCTCCCCCGTCCCCCGTGCTGAGCAGCCGAGTGGTTATGTGCCATCTCCCCCTCACTCTTCTTCACTCATCGTCCCACTTGTGGGCTTTTTGTGGTAGCTTGCAACTGGACGCACGCAGGGCAACGGCATTCCTGGTGGCACTGCAGACTCCCTCGTCCTTTGTCGCAAAAGTGCCACTTGACATACTGGGCTTCCTGAGGAGCACTAAGACACCTCCTGAAGCACAAGCAGCTGACACAGTGCAGACCGTTTGTATGCTGGAGTCCGACCGGCACGCTCGTGGTGAAAGGGTTTCCCCTGAAACTAGCCAGGCCCCAGCGCAACCACATCAACAACGAAAGCCCCCGGACCGGAAGCACTGTGGGACTTGACGGAGGCGGGTTGGCTCAAACGCTTCCCCCCTCTCCCGCTTTCCTCGTTGTTTCAAGAGCCTACTCTCTTTTCTCCCTCTCTCTAGAAACCAAACTGGATGGTCGCCTTGACAAGAGTCGGAGATTCCCAGGAACCCAACCACTGCCAGTGCTCGTGGGACTGGAGGCCCTGAGCCTCGCAGAGTCACGCAAGGCTGCAATGGCCGAAGGTAAGCAGCTAAGCGCTCTCGAGTCTCGGGTCCTACCATAACAGCATGCTTATCAATAACCCCGAATGTGGCCAAGCCCGGGCAGTTGCAGTAAAGTCAACGAGACCTGCAAGTGAAAAAGCACGCACACGCAAGGTTCAAGGGATCCAGGTCTTCCCAGGCCAATCTTCTCCCTACGGCCGGCCTTCTGACGGCGCACCAGGGTCCGAAGCAGCTGCCATGGAAAGTCCGGAGCTGTCCCAACACTACGAAGCTACTCTCGACATGAGAACAGTCATAACAGGCTGGCGGGAGTGGTCACTCCTGGATGCTTGTGGGCGGATGGGTCGGTCTTAGTCTTGGTGCCGGCTGCACCGCGATGTAAGTTAGCCGAAGCATGCGAGCTACTTGTTTCTTCGAACAATCAGAACCTGCAACGCCCTGCACAATGACGGGCCGGTACGCATCACACGCACTACAGTCAAGACCGAACCGAGCGAAGCCAGATGCTGCTGTTCCCTGGGTTTGCGTGCACTGATTGCAGGTGCCCAGGAGGGGCACCCCTTCTTTGGCAGGTCTGCAGTAACTGGCTTTTGGTCTTAGCCTTATCCGCCTCCAGGCATTCCGAGGCCGAGTTTGCAGCCAGTGGGAGCACTCAACTATTCGTCGGTGCACAGGCGGCTCACCTGGATCGATCGGTTGCCATCTCTATGAGAAAACCACTGCACCACCGCACAATCATGCAAAAGTTGCCCGACATTGAACGATCCCCCAACCGTTCAACCCCGAATGCCGGATTTGCTAAGCCAGGGGGCTCATCATAAGCATGCGAGCCTTCCTCGAAACCTGAAGAAGTGGCACAGCCCGAGGAAAGACATTAAGTTGCAATTGTGCCCGGCCGTTGCGAGGAGAAGGCAAAGCCGCTTGCTGGGGATACTGCTAGCTCTCTAAGCTTCCAAGGGTCTTGTGCTTTGTCTGAGTCGGTCCGCTCGTTGCTTAAACCCCTCCGCAATTGCACACTGCTCTTGTATTGTGAGATACAGTGCTCTGCACATTGATGGTTTTTGATCCATTCCGGATCCGTTTCGGGGAAGCTCACAACACGGCAACTCTTGCAGAAGAGTGAAGAGCCCATAAAACATGTCAATGTGAATCCTCGTTGTTGTACTTGCCTGTGGACGCCTGGTATGCCAAGGAGGTGCCTTTGTGCCTTCGTACAGAAGGTTTTTTGGTTTCCGCCTGGGCGCGCACTGGTGCTCCTGAAGCCCGCTTTAAATCCAAGACACGTTCCGCTGCAAGCTTCTTTGCATTGGCCATTGCTTCGAGAGCGTCTTCCTGTCAGAAGCGGATTTCACGGTGAGGCATGTGAGGCTGCCATGTGCTTCACCTTTGTACCTGCGGACAAAAGGTGAAGCGCTGCACTCCATCAACCATGATCGTTTGGCGAGCCAGCTTGGCAGTTAGGTGTGCAGGCTGCCTTGCAGGCTTTGATCGTCCCTCCAAAGTCGGCCACCTGCTGCTTGCAAGTCCAACATGTTAAGTTCAGCTTCAAGCTGCCGAGAGGGCGACAATCGGAAACAATGGGCCAGAATCTTCACAAGTGAACACTCCACTCTCGTCATTCAGCCAACCTCAACCTTCTCATCACTTTGCACCCATTGGGAGAAACTGGCAGGCTTTCAACCTCTCACAAGAGCCGGTGCAGCTCGTTTTCGCACCGAGCCTGCTGTTCCATCTCCTTTGCCTGGGCCAGCATAATTCCCCATCAGTATCAGGGCCGACGACCATTGAGGCTGTGAAACCACCAATCCAATGCACTATCGTAAGGGAGGGAGAGGGAAAGAGCGGGAGGGAAAGAGAAAGGGAAAGAGGGAGGAGAGGGGAGGGGAGGGGAGGGGAGGGGAGGGAGGAAGAGGCGGGAGGGAGAGAGTGAGAGAGTGGGAGAGTGGGAGAGTGAGAGGGTGAGAGAGAGAGAGAGAGAGAGGGAGGGAGAGGGCTCAGAGACGGCTCAGAAAGGGCTCAGAGAGGGCTCAGAGAAGGCTCAGAGAGGGCTCAGAGAAGCTCAGAGAGGGCTCAGAGAGGGCTCAGAGAGGGCTCAGAGAGGGCTCAGAGAGGGCTCAGAGAGGGCTCAGAGAGGGCTCAGAGAGGGAGAGGGAGACAGGGAGAGAGAGAGCGCGTGACCAGCATAACAAGATTGACCGTTAACATTGGCCAAGCCACCTGCGTCTCAAAGGTTTCCTGGGTCCGTGGTTCTGGGGTTCGATCATGCCAGTCATAAAGCTTTGTTGGAGTCGGTTGGGTTCTCTCGGCAGTGAAGGATTGACTCACATGCTTGGCATTTTAGCACCGTCACCATTGCCAAAGGCCTCGGCTGCATCTGACCTTTTAGATTCATATGGGTGCTTCTTTCGGAGAGGATTTGGGCATTGCCAGCCGAATCAGAAGAACAAAACGCTCGGTCCGAGCGGCCTTCTCCTCCATGGTCATGTTGAGCTCCTCCAGAACCTGCGTAAGAGGCCGATCTTGAATCACAAGCTCGATTCCTACCCGATCCTACCCATCCGAATGCCGCACGCTGACCCTGAAGGCTTCCTTCTGCAATTTTCCGGTCCTGCTTCAGCTGCTTCTCCGTCTCTTCAGCCTGCAAAGGCAGGCACTCTGAAGCTCCAAAATCCTCACAGGAAGAACTGCGCTCGAAGCCCGGCATGCTGTACACTGTAAACAGGCATTCCCAGAATTCTGGCCGACTCCTCAGCTTTCTTTTTTTTTAAAGGGATGGATGGTGTGCAATTTTGCTGCCGCACTAAGCTGGAGTGCTACGCCCTTGCGTGCAAACATCCAGGCGACAAAAACTTACTCAACCTTTAACCTTCTGAAGACACCAATGCCCCGCCCCCTACCTTCTCGCACAACCAGTATCTCCTTGTTCTACACAGCCATTCTTCTCAAATTTTCTCAATGTCCCACAAACCCGGCTTGCCTCTGCCTGCTCAAGCCGCCTTTGGACCTCATCCTGCGCCCGGATTCATATTTGTTTCGCAGGCTACGAGATTGTTCGCATGTTCAGGATTGGAACTAGGAAGCTAGAGGAATGAAAGGTTACACGCTGAGTAAGTGCTTCGACGTGTGCAGCCTCTCTGCTGTACATTGAAGCATGATCTCAACTTCCCCTTCAACCCTTTAAGCTCAGCGTATATAGATGTATGTACAGTAGGATGCCATCACTGCTCTCAGGCGTCTCACGGCTCTTCCATGCGGTCTGTGCTTCTTGAGTAGATCAGTGCCACTTGGAAACACATGCTTTCCGAAAAGACACTTTTTCGTCTCGTTCAGCTTTCAGCGACCTGCGGTTTCCACTTTGCCTTGCATCTACTGGGGCTCAAGTTCCGGAAAAGTCAAGGCGTCAAGGCGTTGCCAGATGTTGCCAGGTCATGCCCAAAATTCCATCCCTTGCTGCTTTTGTAATAGCAAATATCAAAGCAAACGGTAGAACGAACAGTGATGTCAGTTGTTTTACGATGCCGTTGGCCTTCGGCAGATGGAAGGGTGTGTCCGGGGGCACTTTTTTTCTGCGCATGGCGGACTTACTACGCCACGTGGTCTGTCGTCCAGCTCTCCTTCTCCCTTTCCCTTATGTCACAGGGCGAGACTCGGCTAGACAGGGTTGTTCAATCACATGGGCCGACCACCTCCATCTGCATCTCCGTCCCTCTGGTGTTTCAGGGAGCTGTTCCATCGCATGCGCTGATGTGCAAGGTTCGGACCACCGGGTACTGTCTCAACCCCATTCTCCTCGTGGTCCCGGGCCAGTTAGAGAGCCCCGCCCATCCCTGAAGTGCCAAAGAGTCGTGCCAGTGTCCCTGAAGTGCCCACCCTAGATCGTCCCGCACAGCATCCACCGAATCCCGCCGACCATGCCCAGTGCTTTGACCCCCCCCCAATCTCAGAGAATCCCCGCAGTGTTCAATGTGGTCACCACCCAGATGTCTCACGACGATCCCTTGCGAAGGGGTGGAGAGTGGCCATTCCTGCCAAGGTACATTGTTGGATTCCAGGCGCTCAGCTGCACCCTCGGACTCCGCAAGCAAAGCCTCTAGCCTGGGCTCAGATCGCACTCTTGGGGGCTGTGTCGGGCGCTCTAGACACTTCAGTTCATTTTGGCTTGCAGTCGTGGCGCTCTTCGTCGACCTGGCTCAGGTCGGCCTTGTGGGAGGCCTCCACTTTTCAACTTCCAGCGACACTTGGGATGCTTGGGGTTTACGTCGTCGAAACTCCGACGTACCTGCACTATGCCGCTACGCTCCCACAGCTTCTGGCACAAGATCGAAGGATGCCAAGTTCTTGTAGGGTGGCACTCTGTGAACGAAGGGTGGTCACAGGTTTCCAGAATGAGCCGAGAAAAAACAATCAGAAGGTCTTGCCTCACATCCTGGCAATGGCACAAGGAGACCCTCGAAGGGAGGGGTTAGAGTTTCAGTAGGACGCGTTGCCAACGCATGAATTACATCCGACTTCTGGAAATCTCTCCTCTGGCGTTCCGGGCCTCCAGGTCTTTGAGCTCTTGCAACGTCTTATGGGAAGCTCGGCGGGCTTCTAGCCTAAGATGCGCTGAAGAGTCCAGCAATGATTCTAAGAAGGTTGTTTGCCACACATCTAGCAAGGGTTTGGGGCCTGAGGTTTAGGGATCTAAGCGGGCCTTAGTTCTCGAGGCCTCAATCGAAGCCCTGCTCGATGGCTGTTCGGACCGGAAAGCCAAGCACCACTCGCTTCAGCCGAGCCGCGTCCGTTTCTGGTGCTCCTGGCTGAGCATGGTCTTAGAAAGGGCTTCTTATGAGTGATCGGTACCCACTAATCATATGCCATCCTTTCGCAGTGAGGGATCAGGGCTGATTGGCAGCTTGTGTAAGCTTGTGTAAGATCTCGGGAGGGGTGGTGGGTGAGAGGTTGCGGGAGGCGGAGGTTGGTAGGGCAGTAGGGCCTACTTATAACCTCTCGGATCTCACAAGTAATTATATATTTATACATACATACATCTCCTCTTCTTCTTATTGTTCTTCGTCTTCTGCGGGCACCCTTCTCCTTCCTTTCTTTCGTGAGGCTTCAGGGGCGAACCCCCCCGCACAGTCCGCGCGCCCCCTCTCTCTCTCGGCTTCCCAGCGGCTCATTTCCTTCACATGGAACTGTCGCCCAATTTAGGGCTCCAGCACATCCGCCTCAAACACTGGTCTCCATCCCCAAACTCGAAGACTCTAAACAGCCTTTGGTCAACAATATCCTGGCCCGACTTCTTTGCTTAAAGGCCACCGTGAACTTAGCAATACCTCTCCGAATCGCCTTCCTTGTACCACAAACAACCCCAAACAACCCCTTCACCCGGCCCCCCCCCCCCTCCCCTCTCCCAACCTTCAACAGCTGCCGCTGCTCGCCCAAGACCCCTTGGATGACCAGCTCTAAGTCCGCGATCTCCTCCCGGCGAGTGGGGAATACATCTCACGGAAAAATTTCGATGCTCACCCTCCCACGCAGCTGGCGAGGCAACTGGGGCTGGCTCCATGCAAGACAAACAAGCCAACGTTGGATGCACAACCGGCATCGGTTCACTTGCTGCACGGCTCGTCTGCGAATCAGCGTGGTCTGCACGGCAAAGGGCTTTGATTTAGCCTGCAGGGCTGCACGATGGCTTGCCCACAGAGGCTTTATGAAGGCCAAAGGCTTGCATTCCACAGGGATTGGGACGTGAGCAAGCACAGGTCCGAGTTGGGACTCTGAAAGTTAAAGTTATCCGAGGCGTGACTCTTTGCGATCGCCTGCTAATCAGGGAAGGGATCTACAGTTTTTGAAGACGGACTGCTGGCAAGCCATCGCAAGAATCAGTCGGATCTGCATGTCTGCCATTTGCATGAGACCCTCCCTTCTACAGTGTCTACAGTTCGTTGCGTAGGTGCATGTGCTGTTGTAAGATGCAAGAGATGCGGGTCCCCAAGTGGTTGCGAATGCTGTACAGGATTCAGTATGTATCAGTGAATAGCTCGTGCTTTGTAGCGGCCTAGCTCGGCCAGCTACAGTAAATGCACGAAGAAAAACCGCACACATGCTTCGCACGTGTAGGAAAGTCTATCCGTGAGGTTTTGCTGCAGCGGCGTCCGTGTGGCTGGCGCTGTTTGTTTCTATTCTGCCCGAAGACCTCTTAACCTCTAACCCTCCAACTGGATGGCCACACAGATGGCCCAGGACAACAAGGCACACCTCATTACTGCTGTTCTTGCCGTGCAGCGTGGCCTATTCTGCTCGTGGCCGCAATCAATAATCCTGCCCTTGGGCCTTACTTGGGCGATTTACATGACATGGTCACGGCCGCTTCCGCAATGGCAAGAGACCCAGGTGCCAAACAACATTTAAAGAACCGCCTCAACACTTCTTGAGGTGCTGAGATGTTCACAAACTGCAAGTCTTTCGGACTTTTAATCGCCAGCGACAACTACTCATCTGACTCCGTCAAGCGAACATGACAGCGTTGGTCCAGGCATTGCACATGGCCCCATGCAAGACAAATGCGCAGAGGGCTTTGGTTTGGGTTGCAGGGCTGCCTTCGGATCTGAGCACATAGCACAGGTCCGCTCGAGTTGGGACTCTAAAAGTTGAAGTTGTCCGAGGCCTGATTGCGATCGCCGCCTGCTTATCAGGGAAGGGATCTAGAGGTTTTGAAGACGGACTGATGGCAAGCCATCACAAGCCATCACAGATGCCCCAGGACAACAAGGCACACCTCATTACTGCTGTTCTTGCTGTGCGACGTGACCGATTCTGCTCGTCCGCAATCAATAATCCTACCCTTGGGCCTTAATTGGGCGATTTAGATGGCATGGCCACGGCCATTTCCGCAACAGCAAGAGACGCAGGTGCCAAACAAAACTTAAAGAACCGCCTCAACACTTTGTTGAGATGTTCACAAACTGCAAGTGTTTCGGAATTTTAGTCGCCAGCGACAGCTACTCATCTGACTCCGTCAAGCGAACATGACAGCGTTGGTCCAAACGAACTTCAAGCGTGCGCTGCACAAGGGTCGCAGCCTGGGCAAAGGCATTGCACATGGCCCCATGCAAGACAAATGCACAGCGGGCTTTCGTTTGGGTTGCAGGGCTGCCTTCGGATCTGAGCACATAGCACAGGTCCGCTCGAGTTGGGACTCTAAAAGTTGAAGTTATCCAAGGCCTGATTGCGATCGCCGCCTGCTTATCAGGCAAGAATCAATCGGATCTGCATGTCTGCCATTCGCATGAGACCCTCCCTTCTACAGTGTCTACAGTTCGTTGCGTAGGTGCATGTGCTGTTGTAAGATGCAAGAGATGCGGGTCCCCAAGTGGTTGCGAATGCTGTACAGGATTCAGTATGTATCAGTGAATAGCTCGTGCTTTGTAGCGGCCTAGCTCGGCCAGCTACAGTAAATGCACGAAGAAAAACCGCACACATGCTTCGCACGTGTAGGAAAGTCTATCCGTGAGGTTTTGCTGCAGCGGCGTCCGTGTGGCTGGCGCTGTTTGTTTCTATTCTGCCCGAAGACCTCTTGACCTCTAACCCTCCAACTGGATGGCCACACAGATGCCCCAGGACAACAAGGCACACCTCATTACTGCTGTTCTTGCTGTGCAGCGTGGCCTATTCTGCTCGTGGCCGCAATCGATAATCCTGCCCTTGGGCCCTTGATTCGGAGATTTAGATGACATGGCCATGGCCGTTTCCGCAACAGCAAGAGACGCAGGTGCCAAACAACACCTAAAGAGCCGCCTCAACACTTCTTGAGGTGGTGTGGAGATGCTCACATACTGCAAGTGTTTCGGAATTTTATTCGCCAGGTCGGCACGGACAACTCCTCATCTGACTCCGTCAAGATAACACGACAGCGTTGGTCCAAACGATCTTCAAGCGCTTGCTCCACAACGGTCGCAGCCACAACGGCCTGCCTCCAACTGCTAGTTTGATAGACCCAAACAGTTGTGCCTTCAGTGAAGTGGCGCCTCAGCATCTCTGGCGGCACAGTCGCGATTTCTGCCCCACATTCCACGCGGAAACCGTCAGAGACCTCGGAAAGAACTCGGCCGGCCCTCCACTCTTGCCGTCCGCCATGCTCGACTTGCACTTGCACATCGTCCGAGTGCTCGAACGCCGGCATGAGGTTGCTGATGAGGAGGTTTTGAAGCTGGCCCTTGATCAGGACGGTCGCGCAACCGGATCCAGATGCGGGGTCTGCCACGCTCCCTGACAAGAGCTTTCCATTTTGGAAGACAAGCACAGGATCTCCGACGAGGTAGGCTTGCTCTTTGACCACCTTTATCGGACGAGTGACATCCGGACCGGGGATGACTGCAAAGCCCTCGGACGCCGGGTCTTGATCCTCTCCCTCTGACTCCGAGTCGAAATCGATACCCAGGGCCTCGCAGTGTTGTTGGAAATCAGCCTCGCCGAAAATGTCATCGTAGAAGCTGATGCCTGCATCCTCACACTGCTCGACTGAGTCCAGGTCGAAAGCCCTGATGCCACTACCTTCGATGGTCAGTCGAATGCTGCTGCGACCCCTGACGGGCACGTGCTGTATCTGACTATGCACAGGTGGTGCAATCAGCACGCCGACATGAGCGTCTTGCAGTGGCTTACCGTTTCGGAGCAGTGGCAGATGTCCCTCAAAACCATTCTCGAGGAATGCCTTGCTGGGGAGGACAGAGTTGCCCAGCAGACGCATGGCCCCCGAGTTGGCGTAGACGGAAACGAGGACTGCATGATGCGGCATAACGCCATCCAGGACGATCTCTCCATCGCCGTCTTCTGTGTGCACATCGGAGATTGCAGCTGTTTCGGGATGACCCGCGATTTCCCACCGGGCACACAATGTTGTCGAAGAATTGCTTGCAAGGTGCTTCAACAGACTGTTGCCTGAAATTGACATCTTCTGCAATGTGACCTTGTAGCAGTCGTCGTTGTGTGGATGGAATGGGAGGTGCTCGTCCAAGTCGCTGGTCGTGCTGCTCAGTAGGAGTCGAAGCGCAGCAGCCATCATCAGAGGTGTCATGATAAGGGAGAATAGCAGGCTCAGCAAAGCTGAAATCGCCCAATCCAGTCCATCCACATTACTGACACTTGCGTGGAAGATGCAGACAGTGAGGAGGCAGAAGAGGAAGTAGACTGAGGTGAAGGTCCAGAACACAATGTGACGCATTTTGAGCTCAAAGCTACGGAGCTTCTCGAAAAGTGGCATCAGCACCAGGAACGGCAGCAGTCCGACAGCAGAGGAAACCAAGCACACCACTGCGCTGCGAATGATTGTGACAAGAGGATCTCTCCCAAAATCACATCCTTGCTGCCCTGTTGCTACAGAGCCCTGGTTATAGAAGACTGCGGCAACTCCGAAGCCACTCATGAGCTTACACAGCGCAACAGCGCTTCGCTCCAAGCACGTCACCCTCAGCGAAGGTTCAAGAACTTGAAGCCACTGGCAGCAACTGCGGTACAGAATAAAGACTTGCTGGAACACACCATGGTTGTAGAAGTCCTCTAGCAGCTCACGTGCTTGCCTGTGCAGGGCCGTTTGCCCACTGACCTCATACAGAGAGCGCAAGAAATCAGAGTCCACACCGAGCCGCGCTCGGATGATGCTCCAGTGCACACTCTTCGTCGCTTCATCGTGAAGCTTCTGAGCTCGGAGCTCGCGAAACCTGCGGAAAAGGACAAACTCTTTCTTGGCCTGCTCCATCAGCATTTGGCGGGCAGTCTCCTTGCTCAACAGCATCTCCAGGTGCTTCTCATACTTGCGATCAGATCTGTGCGCAACAAGTAGCAGCCCTACAGCCGCAACCAGGATTGTCCAGGTGGTCAGGGCTGCTGGGCGTAGAACCCAGTCGGATGACCGCACCAGTGACGCGAGGCCCTCCAAGGAATAGATTGAAGCAGCCAATGAGCAGGCGAACGTGTCCAGGAATGTTCTCGCGATCAGCCCGAAGAGACTGGGCTTCCGAGGGGTCATGGCGGAAACCTCTTGGGTCTTCTCCACGAGAGTTGGCAGCTGGTCATACCTGATTTCACAGGTGGCTGTGCCATTCTCGGCGCCAGCCAGCTTCATTCCTGTCCGCTCCCAGCGGTTCTGGATGGCATTCCAGAAGGCGCACTCTGCCCGGGCCAGGAGTGGCTCTGCGGAATCAACTTTGAAGCTCAGTTCCACGGGGGCTTCAGAATCGATCTCCGTGATTGTCCCATTGTTGCCGTAGAAGGTCATGCTCACTGGCTCCACCAGCATCTGCAGCTTCTCCATCTCGCCGGTTTTCTTCATAACCTGATAGGCATAGGAGCCATTGTGCACTGTGGCCAGGCTGAGGACGATGGGATCATCCGAAGCTTCTTGCAAGTCTTGGAGGAATACCACAGGCAGATCGATCACCACCTCTTCGAAGGAGACCTCGATGGATCGATCGGTCACGCGGTAGGCGTAGGTCGCGATCTCCGAGCCATCCTCGGCCCTTGTGATGAGCTCGAAGATGGCAGTATTGCTCGTTTGGGTGTCGTTCCACTGGAGCATTACATCCTTCATCTCTGCCAACTTTTGGAAGACTCTATCCACCGAGCGAGCCTTGCTGAACTCCAGCGCCCGTACTGCCTGGGAAACTTCAGCAGCCAGCACAGCCACGCTGCCTTCAGTGAACGTCACGGTCGTTAATGTTGTGGACGAGGTGGTGGATGTGACTGTGGAGGTGCTGGAACTGCTCGTGGATGTTGAGGTGGTCATGCTGCTTGATGTACTAGTCGTACTCGAGGATGTGCTGGTTGTACTGGACGATGTTGATGTCGTGCTGCTGGTAGAAGTGCTAGAAGTGCTGGTGGTCGTCGACGAAGATGATGAAGCTGTTGAAGTTGAGGACGTGGTTGTGGTGAAGGTGCTTGAAGTGCTTGTGGAGGTCGTCGACGTTGAGCTGCTCGAACTGCTGGAAGTGCTTGTGGACGATGTGGAAGATGTGCTCGTGCTCGAAGAAGAGCTGCTAGTGGAGGTGCTTGAAGTGCTTGTGGACGTTGTTGAAGTCGTGCTGGTGGATGTGGTGCTGCTAGAACTGCTGGAAGTGCTTGTGGACGATGTAGATGATGTGCTCGTGCTCGAAGAAGAGCTGCTAGTGGAGGTGCTTGAAGTGCTTGTGGACGTTGTTGAAGTCGTGCTGGTGGATGTGGTGCTGCTAGAACTACTGGACGTGCTTGTGGATGATGTCGATGAAGTGCTGGTGCTCGAAGACGAGCTGCTTGTAGAAGTACTTGAAGTGCTCGTAGACGTTGTAGAAGTCGTGCTGGTGGATGTGGTGCTGCTGGAACTGCTGGAAGTGCTTGTGGACGACGTAGATGATGTGCTTGTGCTGGAGGAAGAGCTGCTGGAGGAACTGCTTGACGTGCTGGTGGACGTTGTGGAAGTCGTGCTGCTAGAACTACTGGATGTGCTTGAGGACGATGTCGATGAAGTGCTCGTGCTTGAGGAAGAGCTGCTGGAGGAAGTGCTTGACGTGCTTGTTGACGTTGTGGAAGTCGTGCTGGTGGATGTGGTGCTGCTAGAACTGCTGGAAGTGCTTGTGGACGAGGTGGACGAAGTGCTTGTGCTAGAAGACGAGGTGCTGCTGGACGAAGTTGATGTAGTTGTTGTGCTCGAGGAAGTGCTTGAAGTGCTTGTAGATGATGTAGAACTTGTGCTGGAGGATGTGGTGCTGCTGGAACTGCTTGAAGTGCTTGAAGAAGTGGTACTGGTTGAGGTGCTCGAAGTGCTTGTGGACGTTGTGGACGTCGTGCTTGTGGATGTGGTGGTGCTGGAACTGCTGGATGTGCTTGTGAACGACGTTGATGTTGCGCTTGTGCTCGAAGATGTGGTGCTAGTTGATGTGGTGGAAGTGCTTGTGCTTGTTGTCGATGTCGTGCTCGTAGACGTGGTGCTGCTGGAACTGCTGGATGTGCTTGTGGATGTTGTCGACGATGTGCTTGTGCTCGAGGACGTGGTACTGCTAGACGACGTTGATGTAAATGTTGTGCTGGAGGACGAGCTGCTAGTGGAAGTGCCTGAAGTGCTCGTGGACGTTGTTGAAGTCGTGCTGGTGGATGTGGTGCTGCTAGAACTGCTGGATGTGCTTGAGGACGATGTCGATGAAGTGCTCGTGCTTGAGGAAGAGCTGCTGGAGGAAGTGCTTGACGTGCTGGTGGACGTTGTGGAAGTCGTGCTGGTGGATGTGGTGCTGCTAGAACTACTGGACGTGCTTGTGGATGATGTCGATGAAGTGCTCGTGCTTGAGGAAGAGCTGCTGGAGGAAGTGCTTGACGTGCTTGTGGACGTTGTGGAAGTCGTGCTGGTGGATGTGGTGCTGCTAGAACTGCTGGAAGTGCTTGTGGACGATGTCGATGAAGTGCTGGTGCTCGAGGAAGTAGTTCTGCTAGATGATGTCGATGTTGTCCTTGTGTTTGAAGTAGTGCTGCTGGAAGAAGTGCTGAACGAGGATGTGGAAGATGTTGATGTTGTGATTGTGCTCGAAGAAGTCGTCCTGCTAGATGATGTTGATGTAGTCCTTGTGGCGGAAGTAGTGCTGCTGGACGAAGTGGTGAAAGAGGTTGTTGAAATTGTAAGTGTGGTGGAAGTTGTAGCAGTTTTGGAGGTGCTAGTGAAGGTTGTGGTAGTCACAGTGGTAAGTCTGTTGTAAGGAATGTTTGCGGTTTGCGAATTGCCCCAGGCAACTATGCCACCGTCCTGCTTGACTGCAATGAACGCTCCGCCTCCCTCAGTTGCCGCTGCATCCGCGTAAATCTCCACGACATCTGACTGGACCTCACTCTCAGTGCTGCTTTTGGGATACCTGAAATCTGTGCCGTACGCGGAATGGTCACTCCGACCCCAAGCAACCACACTTCCATCCACCTTCAGCCCTGCGAAAGAGTAAAACGACCCATATATCTTCTGGATGTTGGTGACTTCACTCGGGGTGCTTGAAAGCCTTCGGCTCGTTCCAAACCAGTCGGCATAGCCCCAAGTGACAACCGTGCCATCGACCTTGAGCGCTGCACATGCGTAGGCTGGACACACAATGTCAACGACGTTGACCAGCTGCGCTGCAACGCTGCTTGAATCCGCAAAGCTCCTTGTCTCGTCTGACCGGCCGGCGGTGATCACAGTCCCGTCGTTCTTCAACACTGCGACACTGTACCACGTGATCTCTACCTTCTTCACATCCGAGATCGCCTGGGATGGCAGTGCGATGTGGGTTCCCTCCGTGTTGTAGCCCCAGATCACAGCTGTGTTGCCAGCCTTCCAAGCAACGAAGCCACGTTGTGACCAATCGGCTTTCGGAGGTTGAATGGACAGAACGCCTGAAGCCAGTTCGGCGGCAACGGAACTGGAGTCGCCACCTCTGCCACTGCCCCATGTCACAACCGAGCCGTCATGCTTCAGCGCGGCAAAGGCCCAGTCTCCTCCCACAATCTGTGCCACGTTTGACAAGTCCACGGATCCCGGCTCATGGGCCCCGGCTCTGCCCCAGGTCAAGATGCTGCCATCAGCTTTGGTGGCAGCAAAGCCAGCACTGTTGGGCACAACATCAACCACGTTTGCAGAGAGATTCACGGACGCGGGGGGGTCGCTTTCCACGGCTTGGCCCCACGTGTAGACGCTGCCATCATTCTTCAAAGCAGCAAATCCCCACCCGCTGCCAACCACCTTGGTCACACAACAGCCCAAGCCAGCTTCCAAGTCGCTCTGGCTGAAGTAGTACTGGCCCGTGGTTGCAACGGTGCCATCTGATTTGACTGCTGCAAAAGATTTGCGCCCCATGACTATACTCTGGACGCCTGACTCAAGATAGCTGTCGATGCCTCCGTACCACGTGCCCCACGCAGCAGCATACCCGGTAGAGTACAAGGCAACTGCAATGCCGTCGCCGATGTGTATGGTCACATCGCCGCAGCGTGACCCCTGGAAGCACTCTACGGGCGTGAACGTTGTGGTGGCAGTCGAAGAGGTGGAAGTCGTCAAGGTGTGGGTTGAAGATGTGGATGTCGTGACAGTTGCAGTTTTGGATGAGGATGTCGAAGTTGTCTTCGTCAGGGTTGATGATGTGGACGTTGTGACCGTTGATGTTTGGGATGAGGAAGTTTGGGTTGAGGATGTTGAAGTGGTCTTCGTCTCAGATGATGAAGTTGAGGTTGTTCGAGTTTTAGTGGATGACGTCGAAGTGGTGGCAGTGTTCGTCGTCGTTGTGGCCGTCGAAGACGAAGATGTCAGAGTTGTCATGCTTGAAGTTGTCGAAGTTGTTGTCGTCCACCACAAGGCCGTTCCTTCCGGCGCCAATGTGGGCCAGGACTGCACGGTGCCGTCCTCCTTCACCGCTGCAAAAGATCTATCTGACTCCACACCGGAATAGATCTCCATGACTCCTGAGGAAACATCAACGCTACCGTCAGGAGCCCAGGGCCAGGAGACAACACTGCCATCGTTCTTCAATGCTGCAAAAGCGTTTCTTGTGGAGACGATGTCCCGCACACAGCAAGACAGATCTACAGCGCTGGAATCTGCGCCGAAGCCGCTGTTGCCCCAAGTCACCACACTCCCATCGCTCTTCAATGCAGCAAATGCCCCATAAGTAGAGTAGATAGTGACCACATTCACCAACTGGGAGGACACAGAGGAAGAGTCGCCACCATAGTCGCTGCGCCCAGTAGTCTCCACAGTCCCATCGATGTAAAGGATTGCGGCCGCTTTCTCTCCGAACGTGACGCTCTTCACATTGTCCCGTATGATCGGGTTCACACTGTAGTCGGTATGTAAGCCCCACACAACTCCTCGGCCATCCGACTTCACCGCAGCAAAGCCAGTGGTGACTGTATACCACACGGGGGCCACTATGAATTCAACCCCGCTCGTCAGCTCTGCAGAAGCACTTCCCATGGAATGGCCGGGGCCATATCCCCAGCAGGACACTGCGCCCAACGAGCTCAGGGCACACCATGCGGCGTGATTTCCCTTGATGTCAATCATGTCGGACTCGGCGACGCCTGATGGCTTCTCGGTGTAGCCACCATAGCCTGGGTGACCCCAGGACAGCGCTGCGCCTGTGGAGGTGAGGGCGCCGAAAGTGATGTAAGAGCCAACAATGCTGACCACATTGGATATGGCGAACTCACCACAGTTGCCTCCATAAGTGCCGGCTGGATAACATATGACACTGCCATCATCCTTGACTGCCGCCACGTGGAATGCATTCGTCGCGATTTGCACCACTCCGGAGTGCCATTCCGATGGCACCTCGAAACCCCATGACACGACACTGCCGTCCTCCTTCAACGCGAGCCAGCGATCCCAGTCTTTCTGGACCTCGATGCTTCGGACACCCGAAGCCAGGCTTGCAGCCGCTGGAAAAAGTGTGGGAGAGGTTCCTTGGCCTCCCCAGGTGGACGCACTGCCATCCATGTTCAAGGTCGCATATGAATGCCGGCCAATGATGACCTTGGGCCGCACGAGGAAGGGGCCGTAGCCCGGAATCCAAAAGGCTGTTGCGGTCGTTGTGGAGGTCGTCTGGGTGGTGGTCAAGGTCGCTGTTGTGGAGGTGGTGGTCGTGGTGCACAAGACTAAGGACCCGGTCTGTCCATAGAGGCCCCATAGCACGATGGTTGCATCATTCTTTACAGCAGCCCACCAACCCTGATTGTAAGGATCCCATGTAGCATGAAGGGAGACAACTCCGGAAGTGAGGTCGCCCGCGACGGAGTCAAAACTTCCGGCCCCCGTCCAAAAATCACTGGACGGATCCGACCATGTCACGACCGAGCCATCCGATTTCAAAGCGGTCATGGCGTGGCTGGAGCCAACGACGGATGCCACGTTGGTCAGCTGACCACTTACTGAGCTGGAGTCGCCACCCCTTCCGGTGTCCCCCCACGTCACCACAGAGCCATCTGCCTTCACGGCAGCAAATACCCTCTCTCCAGCAAAGACTGCAACCACATTGCTGAGTTGGCTAGCAACCAAACTCGAATCACCTGCATAGCCCGAGTTCCCCCACACCACGACCGAACCATCAGATTTCACGGCAGCAAAGGCCGCTCCGCTGCCCACGACCGAGACGACATCGGACGTCAGCTGGCTTGCCACCGACGATGAATCTCCACCATTGGATGCTGATCCCCATGTTACCACGGCACCCGACTTGAGTGAAGCGAAGGAGAAATATGTGTTGACGACTGAAGACACGTTGATGTCGCTTGCGAAGTTGCTGATCACTTGGCTCTCAACACCCCAAGTCACCACAGTGCCATCACCCTTCAGGGCGGTGAAAAGGTAGGTCGCGGCGAACACGTATTCAACACCACTTGCCAAGTCGCTGGCTACAGAAGCGGAATCACCTCCCCAGGAGCCACTTGAACCCCATGTCACCACAGACCCATCGTTTTTGAGTGCGGCGAATCCTCTGCCGGTAGTTGGTGCGACATGCAGGGAGACAACACCACTCGCAAGTTGGCTCGAGACTGAACTCGAATCGCCCCCCCAAGACGACGAGCCGAAAGTCACCACGGAGCCATCGGACTTCAATACGGCATGAGCCTGCTCGCCTCCCACGAGCGAGACCACGCCGGAGGTAAGTTGACTAGCCGCAGAGCCTTGCATATCACTCCATGTCACAAGCGACCCATCAGACTTGATGGCTGAGAAGCCAATGTTCGTGGAAGAGATGGCAACCACATCCGATGACACCTCGCTGGGCGCATTTCCCCCGTAAGAACCGGAGCCGTAAGCAGTGACCGTGCCGCCGCTGTCAAGGAATGCGAGGGCCCCCCGAGAGGCAGCCACATCTGTCACCCTGAAGGTGCTACAATCAGCCGATGCCTGCCAGAGCAAGGCAAGCAAGAGGGACAACAGGAGTGCCGACACGTGCCCCGCGGCCATCGCTCGATCTGCTACGCTGTCGATGCCAATCTTCGAGTCAAGAATTGAGTAATTGAAAAAGCGCATCGAATTCTGTAGCGTCGTAGTGCGTTGTGAGCTTCAAGCTGTGTTTGAACATGCAGTGTGAGCTGAGGCTAAAAAACTTTGAGCCGTGGCCATTTTTCGATTGGGGCGACGGCGCGCTTCACTTGGGGCTTTGGGGTTCAGGTTGCCGGGCTTCGACTGCTTGGTGCCTCAAGACTAAAGGCAGCGGAACTTGCAACAAGAGAGAAACGTCGCCTCACTTTACGCTCTCGACACCCGGCTCCTTCTTCAATTGCGCGACGTTCTCCTGCAATAAGAGCTGAAACAAAAAGCCAAGTTCACTGCAGAAGTTAGCGCGCACTAGCTTCGGGACATGCTTCACGGAGTTCACCATTTTAATACACGTAATCATCCATCTAACAAAGCCGAAACCGGCTGACCTATCAACAAACAAATTATAATCAACAAGCAGAATCTCACTATCAAAAAAAACGAATCATAACGTTGTACCCGGTTTTGTGAAGCCACCCGCTATAGTCACACAAGCTTGCGGAAATCGCCTCGGCTTCTCGAATTAGATCTGGTCTCCTTCTCCCCTCCCCAACCCTTCCCAACCCTTCCCAACCCTTCCCAACCCTTCCCAACCCTTCCCAACCCTTCCCAACCCTTCCCAACCCTTCCCAACCCTTCCCAACCCTTCCCAACCCTTCCCAACCCTTCCCAAAGGACGATTGTCATATATGTATATTATATATATATATATATATACATTACATAAAGTGCGTATTGTAGACAGTACCCCATATACTCTAAATGTTGTAGTCATCCAACCCCCCCCCCCCCCCCCCCCCCCCCCCCCCCCCCCCCCCCCCCCCACCCCCCCCCCCCCCCCCCCCCCCCCCCCCCCCCCCCCCCCCCCCCCCCCCCCCCCCCCCCCCCCCCCCCCCCCCCCCCCACCCCCCCCCCCCCCCCCCCCCCCCCACCCCCCCCACCCCCCCCCCCACCCCCCCCCCCCCCACCCCCCCCCCCCCCCCCCCCCCCCCCCCACCCCCCGCCCCCCCCCCCCACCCCCCCCAAGGTTCCACCATTTCGTGTGTAGTGTGAGGTAGAAATGGCATAAGCGAATGTGCCTGATGAGTGGCATGTGTGATTTGAGGCCGTCGCATGTTCAGAAAAGCGACAAGATAACAAAAACATGATCGCAGAAAGCGGCAGGTCCAGATTTTGTTTCTTTCGTGATTGTAACTTGGTCAGTTTTTGATGATGATTGTAATTTGTTGATTGCAAGTAGGTTTTGTTGATGGGCATCCCGCCAAGACCTAATGCACTGAAGCCTACCCGTCCTGCATCGCCAGCGCATTCCTGGGAACTTGAAGCGTTGCCCCGGGGGTCTTCTAACCCGAAAGATCCCGCGATGCCCCCAGAGATTCGCGAAGCCTTCTCGCATCTCTGCTTTAATTTGAATGTTTCAAGCAAAACTGGCGTTTGGTGATTTCGGGACAGATTGCGTGTGCTGGTGGTTCTGATGGTCTCGCCAAAGGCTCCCCACCAGCAACAGGGCACAACAGAACCGCGCCATCGCCGGGAGTCCTGAGGGCAGACAGCTTTCAAAGTTCGCAAGGGGCCTCGACCCCTCCAGTTGCTTCAACGAGGGTACATCGATCGTGAGTCCATAGTCCATCACGAATCCAGTGTTCCGACTTCTTTCTTCTTGCTAAGCAGGAAACAAGAAGGCAAGGCATGAGGGGACGCAAAGAAGCTTTCACCGAGCACAGGAAGTAGTCGGAGCAATGTTTTGCGCTCCACCCCTGCTCATCCGACCCTGGCTTCATCTTCATGCTATTACACAGCGTCTGCAAGCCTCGAGAGCGGTTGAAAGGTTTGACAGGCCACAGGGTTGTCTGGAAGCCAGAAGCTGCAGATTGCGCTAGCCATGGGAACAGGAAGCAAAGTCAGCTTAGACTCAGTAAGGGCTCTGCAGCAGTGCTCTCGTGCTAGCAGCTATGAGAACAGAAATGAACGCATCGAGATAGGCCAGCACCACACCGAAACAGCCATTTTCGGGTGAAACCGCAGGCCACTTCATTCACAAAGGCTTTTTTTGACGAGGCCGCCCGCGCTTCAGCCAAGCATAGCCAAGCTCAGTGGTCGTTCACCTGCACTTCAGGGGCCCCGTAAACTCAAACTCTTCCACATCACAAGCTATAGCTCAGCAAGAAGGCAAGTCTTCAAATATCCACTCCAACTCCGGAGCACTGGAGCAAGCAGCTTCCTGATGGCCTCATATCGTTGCGGTCCCAGCCGAAAGTGCTAGGAAGTTTCATGCACAGGGGGCCAAACCTGGGCTACAAGTGCAGTGGGGCGATGGGTCTGGTCTCGGTGTTTCGAAGATTGTTCGAAAACCAAACTGACAAGCCACTCGGTTCAAACTTGGAGCATCAGGTCCAGCATGGCCCCCCCCAGCCCTGTTGAGTGAGAACACTTGGCTCTGCCAGCCACAAGGGTGGAGGGTGTTGGAGCGTTACAGTAAAACATTACCTTCGGGAGCAACTGCAAAAACAATCGCCCTTCAGAGACGGTCTAACTGTCCATTGCACCGCTAGATGGCCGCTAGATACTGCGTGAACTCCTGCTCAGGAAGCCTCCGAAAGCTCAGAAGCAAGGTAAACCTCCTCTAAGTTGCATCGCTTGTCAGGTCCGGCATATCATCCTGCCCAGCTCCAAACTTCGGTGTGGTGCTGGGGGTGCGCTGCCCCCGCCGCAGACGAGATAGGACTGACTTTAACTGGCTTGAGGCGGCTACAAAGGAGCAGCAATGTGCTTGTTGTTCCCTCATGTACCGCGCCTCAGTCATGTGCTCAGCCTCGTGCATTGCGGCCTCATCGAGGATTCGAGGATTCGAGGACTCCAAAATTTGTCTTTTCGAACCCAGATCTTTTTCGGACCACCTATTTTCTTTTTCGTGACTTCGACAAAACAAAAGAAAGAAAAAAAAAAAAAAAACAAGAAAGTCAACAGTTTTTACGTGTTTTTAAAATTGAATGTGAGAAATAATGCAGTTTGTTGAGAACACGCAGATCCTGTCAGACATCACACAATGTTGCAAAGCACACGTGGTGTGATGGCGAAGATCTGTGTGTTCTCAAAAACTTCCGCATGAATTTTCCAAACGTGAAAACCTGTTGATCTGTTTTTTCTTTTTTGAAGTTCTTCTGTTTTGTTGTGGTCACGAAAAGACAACTGGTGGTCGGCAAAAAGATTTGGGGTTGGACAAAAACATTTTAGGGTTTGGAAAAAGATTTTCAAGTGTGCAAATGGGGTTGAAAAAAAAACAAAAGTCTTTTTCTAAACCCCAGTAACGAGGTTGAAAAAAGATTGGGGCCAATAAGGAGATTTTAGGAATGAAAAAGCTGGCAGGGTCAAGAAAAAGACATTCTGGGGCCAAGAAAAATAGAAGCCCTGAAAGCTGCAACGCTTCTCCACTCACAATAAAATTTGATGCCTCGTCTTCGTTACGGCCGCCATGGCGCTTATGCCGGTTGCTTCCGACCGAAGGAAGAAAACGATGCAGCTCAGGACATGTTGCACCGTTGGCAACCCACAGCCTGCCTCGGAATAGTTGCTGATCACCTCATCCAAATCATCGTCGATATGGTGCTGCACAGGGGCTGAGGATTCAGCTGTGCGAAAGGATGCAGGTGCACCTGGAAACCTCCAGCCGTACTTGGCCATTCTTTGGGGTGCAAGACGGTGTATCAGAACAGGGGAGGACGACAACAGGGGAACAGAAGAATCAGAGGACTGTATCCAAGTCCTGACGCAGCTTCAGCGAGATGCCTTGAGGCTCTGAGGTACAGTGCAGAGGCACTTGTTGCTGCACAGGGTCCGTTTGGGGCATGCGCTGCCGGACAATCTCACACATCTCACACATCTCACACATCGCAGTCGTGGGGTAGAAGCCTTGATGTCATCAAGCGCTCCAGATGCCAGCACCTGACACCAAGTCGGCAAAAGCAGGGTGGCAGGGTGATGCAAGGTGTCCGTCTAAGCGCTCCTGGTGGCTCTCCATCTGGCTAACCATAGCTAACCATAGACACATGAAGCACCCGGTGCTTCCAGACGCCCCCAAGTGCGCCTTGCACTGCACAAGTTCACTCAGCTGGTCAGCCATCTCGGCTTTGTGTCGCACAACCTTGCAGCCATGCAATTTTAGAGCCTCCACAATTAATTGGGGCTGTGCAGGACATCTCAGGCAAGGCGAGAAATTCTTAGTTTGGTCCCCAAAGGATCCATTTGTAGGCCGTACAAGAGTACATCAATCCCAAACCCACGGAGCACTGTAGCTCCCAGACAATTTTGCCAGGCACCCAGCACGATAACACTGCCCAAGGCAAATTGCACGGAGCACATACTCAGTTGAATGTATTGCTACAGTGTGTTGGACCGCACACGGGCGAGGCAAAAAGGGGTAGGGGTCGGCGAGAGCGTGCTCTGCTACACACAGGAGCTTTCTTGGGAGCCTTGAAGAACAGCAAGTCGCGGCTAAACATTGCGATGAAGTTGCCCCCCCTTTTAAAACAAAGCAACAGATGGAGACCCTTTATTTCCCAACAAAGCCACACTGCTAGGAAATTTGTGCCAGATGCCTTGGCGTGAAATGTCTCTCGCGCATCTTGCGTGGCCTCAGTGGACGCGAAGTAGATGTTGCCAGAATGACCCTAGTGCCCTTTGGGTAAGCACACCAGCTGACTTTGAGGGTTCCGAGGGTAGCACATTCCAGTACTTTTTCAGTATAGGGTTGTGCCAGTATAGGGTAGTATAAGGTAGTATAGGGTAATATAGGGTAATATAGGGTAGTATAGGGTCTGGCTGGCAAGGCTTTTTGTAGCAAACCCCCACTCTCCAAACCTTGCCCAGGCACGGAAAGATTGGCCAGTGCCTCCTCGAGCTGCCTCAACAAATGGAAAGAGTACGTCAGTGGGTTGAGGTTCTCTCCACGTACCATCTCCGAAAAACTTTGGCGGTGGAATTGGGAGGGCTGCACACAAACAGGACATACTAACAGGCAGGCCCACAACTAGGCTGAACATAGATAGAGACTTCTAGTGTTCTAGAGAGAAGCAATTGGCAATACCGACGGCAACCTGTGAGTGTCTACGCTCCGAGACAACACTGCTCGCGTTCCTGCTGCGATTCTCCGGCTGAAATTTCAGCCGGCCACGACATGTGCATGATCCCAATACTTGGAAGATCTTGGAAGATCTTGGAAGTGCAGGCTTTCCTATTCAACACGACTTTATGACCCTCATGTCTTACCTACGTTGCCCCAGAGTGCCCCAAACAGGGCATCCCACGTTGCATACGGCAGACATCGGAAAGAGGCCTGCTTTTGCTTCGTCTCTACGCTTCTCTTGGCCGAATCCCAACTTTTCGACGCAAAGTCAACTTGCCTAACTTAACCGCCGAGATGTGGTCCTGCGCCAAGGCACGTTGCCATGGAGGAAGCCCGGGCACTTTCACCCGCCATCTCTGCCTCCAAGTTGGACTCCGCCTGAACGGAGGCGGCAATGAGGCGAAGGGTTTTTGGATCTGCCGTTGAGACATGTCGAGAAGATACAGTAGAATAAAGGAACACCGAATCTAGAACTCGAAACTATTCTTGCCGGTCCTTTTTCCAACATTGGAAAACACGATGCTGTGACATGAATACAGATAGAGTGACAACCCACGCCTCGGTGATCTTGGTGGCTGCTTTCTCGACTTTGGCCTTGGATTCTGACGGGAAACTTCTACCATTCTACGCCTCTGCTTTTGGGATTGAAGTTCTACACGAATGACGATTGAATGCACCTCACAATGACGACCCCTTGGGACATCGTCATCTTCCCTGTGCTCCCTCGTTGTGTCCCTGCACACCAGAGCAGGCGAGGCTCCAAACGAGCTTGTTCTAGGCTGTCCTTCTTCACATCCAGGCGCCGCGCCGCGGCAGCCTTGGCTCTCTCGCTGTAATTCGGGATTTGATTTGCTGGCGCCGCGTCCCTTATCAGTAGCCGAGCAAGCTTGCGTTTCCAGGGGGCGGGCAAGGGCCTAGGATTGACTAAATCCTAGCTATGATGAAGTACCCTCATATGTATGGCCCGCAAGTTTGTAGCACGATGTTCGACTTTTCCGGCTTCTTCTCGAACCCAAACAACTGCTTTGTCCTGCCCTGCTGCTGCCCTGCAGTTTTGACTCGCAAGCAGGGTCCTTCGGGCGCCCAGTGCTACAAAGAAGGTGTCCGAATCTCTGAACGAATGAACGCACGTACAATCGACAAATGATAGATGTAGATGTCAGGCGTTCTCCATCTAGCCAGCAGTGCGGGGCCCAGAAGCCACAGCTTGACGAGCCATGGTCTCCAGCATCTGCCTTGGAAAGATAGGGCAGACCAAGTGTGAGGTGCCAGGGCAACCAGGGCGTGGAGCCAACTTGATTTCCATGCTCATGTCCCATCTCACAGCAAGGTGCGAGTCTTTCTGGAGCTCCTCGAAGTAGCTGTTCAGGGCCTGTCAGAATATGGGATCTTCCGCAAACTCCGAGGGGAGGGGGGGGGGGGTCTCGACTCAGGCGAAAAACTGACGCTGGGGCTGGGGCCTAAGACTTCTCCAGGGTGACTTTGGGTGTCTCCCTACGCCTGTATCCCATTCCTTCAGGGGAGCCTGGTCCACCGAATCTATGTCATCTTTCAAGCCGGGCTTGTGTTTGCTTGCGTGGGTCTGTTGGTTCGCCTAAGGTGCCCTTGGCCACCGTGGTTCTTGCGCTTGTTCGGGTGTTGTCGCACGAGAGCCTCTTGAAAGCACGAGGACATTGCCTCCAGCCTCGGCCTTGCATCTTTCTTTTCTTGCGAGGGCAAATCACAGCCGAAGGGGAGTGGGGGGGCAAGCAGCATGAGCCGACATGCTTTTTGGCATCTCGCGCAGGAGCGGCCACTGAGAAGCCAGGTCAGAGCACAAGGGAGTTCGGGGCACCCCGTTGACGTCCCGTGCTCTTGACCATCCGAACAAGAGTACGATACAGACAGCGTGAACCGATTGCAGTGCTTCAAATGCCTTTCGGACGTACGCTCGCTGTACTGCAGCTTCAGGACCATCTTCCGTCAACCGCCTTCCTGCAAGCTTGCGGCAGCTTGCGTAAGCAGCTTGCACCTCTGTGTGCCCAGACTTCAGGCCTTGCTGGGCTCACTGCCAGCTGACGAAGCGCAGCCCAGGGAGCTCCAAGTGGCAAGGTCCGCAGCGCAGGGGCTTGCGGCATCTTGTGGCTGTTGCAGCGCCATGTGGGAACCGGAAGCTTGCAGACTAGAGCACCCACTCATCGAAAGTACGGTCTGCAAAGCCCCAGGTTTCGTCCAAGCCTTGGTCGTTGTAAGGTCTTAGAACCTCAGCCCCATCAAGCCCCCTAAGCTGCTCCTTCACACTTTGGGAAGGTTTGGCTGCAGGCCCATTCCATTCCTGAAAACTGAAAAGCTCCTTTGGAGTTTTGCTAAGAGACCGATCTCGGTCTGCATGGGGCGGAAGGGCTCGGCACAAACATCTTTGAAGTTGTGGTCCGTGATGACCCATCGTGTGCTGGCGCGGACTCGATTTATGCCTGAAAAGAGTGGGATGGTTCCATCATTCCTTCCCTACCAACCGGCTTCTACTTCTTGAACATAAGCCAACAAACCATCCCAAATCGTAGTTCTTCCCAATTACACTTTGGCTGCTAAATCCCCAAGTTGCGTCGGTGGTTCTGGTGAACCGTGACACAGGGCGGCAAAAGCACCACCTGGCTTGTGGATTGTGATGGCTTGAAATTTGACAGTCTGTCGCTGGTTTGTGAGCTTGATAGCTCACAACAGAGCGCGTGCAGGTTTGGAGAAAAATGACAAGTGGCAAACTACAGAAAGACGGCATGAATATGCGAAACGCTTGGCCTGTCGCACGCCGGCAGCCCGCAGCCGACAATGGATGAGGTCGTCGGTCTGCCAATTCTGGGCCACCTCTGCGAAATGAGTATGGCTCATTCCTGGAAAGCCTGAATGTGCCTCACCGTTGCCTGGGGCTCTTGAACTAGAATGATCTGCATGCTGACGGCATGTTCCAGCCTCGGGATAGCCATGAATGGCCAGGATCCATCGTCTGCTCGTAAGCACGAAATCCCCACTGCCAGGCCAGTAGAAAGGCTTCTGCTCGCTTTCGCCTTGGGCAATGTCTCCTCCCGGCTGCATGCAAGCGGTCGCGTCATCCTTAGCTCACTGAGTTCTGGAGTACCTGACCTCCTGGATGGAATGTAAGGCGTGAGGCTGAATGAGTAAAGAAGGAATTGCCGGCCAAAGGTCTGGATACTTCTCCTGTAGGTCTGCCAGCTCCAGGTTCATTTTGCTGATCAGGTCCTGCTACGCTGCTATAAGCTGTTGTGAAAAGATGCGCCTACTCATGGCATTGGGGGCACTGGGGTCCGTGGTGCGTCAAACGTCCTCACGCGAAAAGAGCCAGTCAATCAGCTCGTTTGTGGCCATGCCCTCTGTCTCAGGGCACGTCACGTCATACTCCATGTAAGTGGCACGGTAAACCACATCAGGCTGAAGCTCTCTCCGAGCAATGAAGAGCACCTGCGCTGTCTACATGCACTGCTGGATTGTCATTTTGCTGTTTCTCCAGGGCAGCGCCACCACAGCACATGAAAAGAAGCAAGGCTCCACCGAAGTGCTAGTCCAAGCCGCGGTAAACGGGCTCAAGATGTTGTCGATATTCGTCTTGAGGATGAACTTCCCACGCGCCCGGCGGAAGGCTATGTTCTCTGCAGTGTGTTCAAAGATCGGGTGTGCCTGAGAAAAAAAAAGCACTCCTCCATTGCATGACTGCACAGTCGACCGGTCACCACCCACCCTCTTCTCACCCACCTTGTGGTGCGGCATGGACATGTGTATCTCCGTGGGCACGTGGATGACTCGGATGGGTATGCTATCCCCTCCGGGCTCGCGCGTGATGGCTTCTCGCATATGCGGCGCATTCAATGGCGGATTCCACTCCTTAACTCAGGGTTGCTGGAGATTCAACATGGGTTTATTTATGGCTATGCCCCACGTCCCACATTCACACTCTTGCTCCTGGCTCAACTCGTGCTGACAGATTCCAGCAAATCACAGGGCTTGTGGCCCGTGCAATTTTCAGCAACCCACTTCTGGGCCCAGCGACCACGACGATGATCTCAGCTGGCACTTGTGCTGCTTCCAGCATTGTCGCAGTTGTTGCCAGCATCCGGTTCAAGCGGAGGAGCATATTGCCTGGGGGCCAACAATTGCCATGAGCCTCGCTCCAAACTATCCCAGTCAGTAGGCCTCCGTAGTCATCGTTCCTGCACTGGACGATGACAGAGAGGTAGATGTCCTCGTTGTTTCCGAAGCACTCTACCGAGTAGGGCTGGAGTCATGGGTGGGGTCGGCTGGCATCTGGGATGAATGGGATAGCCTCTGCAACCTGAAAAACACTGCACGAAGAATGCCTGAGGAGTTCAGCTTGACACAGCAGAACATGATACAGCGGAACATGAGATGTGAGGCTTTGAGGTTTTTTTTCATAATATGCTGTTCTGGGGTCCAGCTCGGCTTTTTGCAAAGGGTGTGTATCCTCCACTGCCCCGGAGAGATTTGCACAGGATGCTGCAAAGTCATTGGGACGTGCAGCTGTAGAACAAGTCAAGCAAAACACCCGGCCGTTCACCATCAACGACATCAATGCGCTGAGCAGTGGGGCTCTGACCATAGATAATCGTTGATTTCTCGGAACTCTCCTTTCCGGCCTGAAAACCCTTGCGATTCATTACGCAGGCAGCCGCAAATGTTTGAAAGCTACCGGCAAGAACGCAGGCAAGACTAGCAGCACCATTGCCAGTTGAAGTTTTGGAAACGAGCATCCAGGCACGCGAGAGAATGTGCGCTGCCCGAACATGGAAAGCCGGAATGGGAGGCCAAAGAATGCAGAAGTGATCCAAAGAGAGGATTTGCCCGTACTGCCTCAGGCACCTGAATTCGAATCTTTCCCCACTGTTCCGAGCCCAGGTCCTCCTCCGCTGGCCACACAGCCTCCTCCGGCAGTGTGGCCATGCGAGGCGATGGGACCTTGAAGCGACTCCCAGAGACCATCTCCCGCCGCACGCTGCGCCTCGGGGAACACTGCTCGTTTTGTTCGGGCCAGGGCTCCTTTAGGGTTTTTTTTTGGGGGGGTTTGGGGTTTCGGGTATAGAGCTTAGGGTTTCGGGTTTCGGGTTTAGGGTTTTGGTCCAAGGTTGCAATGATTAGGGAGGGTTTGGGTGGCCCTACTGTGGTGCAGCATCGTTTGCAAGAAGCTGCCGGCGGCTGGCCGAAGCTCAACGGATGCATCCAAGAAGCAGCAGCCGCCAGAGTGGCCACTTGGTCCTAAGGCTTAGTCAATGCGCACCTTGGGTTCGAAATTGGGCTCGGCTTCTGCCCGTGCCCAATTCATGGTGACGTGGGGTAACTGGCGCAACACCCCCTAGAACCCGGCAGGTCCTGAGTAAATCCAAAGAACGTGCTCCTTGTGAAGATGCCGGGCCCTGCATGCGAACAGCTAGACTTCCACTCAAAAGTGAAGGGAACTGAGTCGCAACTTGCACTAAACTGCCCTAGACTCAAGCTCCGACAGCGCCTGCTCAACATGCTGTAGAGCCAGCCCTTGCCTTGATTTTGCGTGTTGGGAGTGGAGGGGGGGTGGGGGAAAGGGGCGTTTGGGCGACGCTGGGAGTTTCTGCATGTTTTCGACCTTTGGTGGAGATCCCTCAGTCCATGACTGAGTGGCCACCTGCGTGGCACTTAGAAGTACACTTTAACAGATGGCCGGGCTGTAGATAAATATCACTCCCCTTGACTGTCTCCAGCAACTGACTGCAAATGGAGGTTGCTACGATTGCTGCCCAGCTTTTGCTCACTCAAGGGGCTAAAGGCTAAGGCTAAGGGATTGACGGTGTCGGTCGCCAACTCACGGCTACACAGAACTTACCTCAAAGAAAGGCAAGCACAAAGAAGCACAGGAGCTCCCGACATAGCGGCATAGCGCACACAAACGACAAGGTGATCTCAACGTCATGCATAACCTGACACACACACACACTCACTCACACAGAGTCTTCATTCTAATGCCTGCGGGGCACGCGAAGAGCAAGGCCCTTCTCACACGCATCTCATGCTCCCCGCCACTGGCAGCAGCCGCGAATGCGGTGACGTCCGCAGCAACAAGGAATCTCAGATCATTCGGGATTCTCCAAGAGCTTTTCAAGTGTCTCGATGGGGCAACTAGAGAAAAGCGGGGAAAATAGCCGAACCTTCAGGGACCGCTTCAGGACCCCGTACAAACCTCTTGCAAGCCTTGGCACAGCGAGGAAAGGCCCAGGAGACAAATGGGCTGTCGCCGAAGGTGCCGTGCAAAAAACTCGGCCCACTTGAACTCCTCGGGGAGATGGAGAGGGTGCAAGAGAGAGAGAGAGAGAGAGAGAGAGAGAGAGAGAGAGAGAGAGAGAGTATCAACCGACCCTGAAGCTCCATTATTAAAGAACGCCTGAGATCTTACCCACCCCAACCCCAGAAACCTGTGCATAAACCTATAGGTCTCTAAGGTAGCCGGCGCTGTCAGGGCGCGTTTTGCTCCAATGCTAAGGTCTCCAGCCCATCCAGGCTCCGCCGGATGGCCTCGATGAAGTCCTGCAGATGTGTGGGGTGCATGCTGTAGTTAATTGTTGGATTTGGCGCAGCAAAAGTCCTCAAAAGTTCTTGAGGTTCAAGTTGGACTCTTGGTCGCAAGGTGACGAAACACCTACTGCCATCCAGTGCATGCGGCCATGGCGTCAGACAAAGCACATGTCTTCCTGTCGCTTGTGTAGTGATTCTCTTGATTACGACTCTTCCGGCTCGGGCGGCCACAACAGAAATGACCCTCAGTCCTCATCCACCCCATTGTTGGCCGCATCGCAGGCGGACTGGCCAACCAAGCAGCTGACCAAACGCAAAAGCCGCGCAACATGAATCAGCAGCTTTTTCGTGCAGTCACATTAAGCACCGCGTCATGTTGCTCGGAAGATCTCGGAAGTTGCGAGCTCACATTGCCGAGATGAAGCCCAGCCTCCCCTGGCGGAAGCTCTGCCAAGGAATTGACGAGGGCATCCTCCTGCCTGCAGAAACCGTTGTCTTCACAGGCTTGTGTGCCTCGCCCCTACTCGGTCTTCACATCCGAATCATGGCTCTCCATATAGAAAGTTCTCAGCTTTTCTAGGTTCATAAGCGCGCGCAACGCCGCAGCAGTGTAAATCGATGAGACAGCATCAAACGCACGCTTCTACAGCACTTCTGATCTTGTCCTTCTGACCTGGAGATGCCCAACCGCCAAAGTCCCCCGACTCCTTCAAAGTATCAGCCCAGGCGCTGACTGCTCTCCAGAAGGCTTGACCAATCAGTGCCTCGAGCTGCTTTTCATTACAGTAGTTGCCCGTGTAGGGGGCCCCATTCTTTTGCCGGGGGGAGCAATCTTATCTTCTTGGCTCGCCCCTTTGGGGGCAAGAAGAGAAGACGTGTCTTTTTGGCTCACCCCCCCCCTTTGCAAGCCTTTGCAAGGGGGTGCCTCCTGCCCCCAACCAAAAAACAACACCAAGCAAACGCCCCACCGTCCAATCAGCATCAGTCCACGAAGCAACCAGCCAGCAAGGGCCGCCGCATCGGCCGGAAGTCCGTGGCCTCTGGTGGAGCTTGACACCCAACAGTGCCAAGGGCTGAACAACGGAGGCATGATTGTGTAAAAGGCAGAGAACACAACAGGTTGGCGTACGAACGGAAAGTCGGAAGTCCATCACCGGAATGACACTCATTTCAGGGTCTACTTGTCAAACGCTTTGAAGAAGAGGTCAGAGTGCTTTCAGATCATGATCCGCTGGAGCTGCCGACACTGGCTTCTGCCAAGCTTCGAAGCTTCATCGCCATTTGCTCCACCTTCGTCATTCGTCCAGTCTACGAGCTCGCAGGTTTCTGCGACACTTGGGAAGCGTCTCTTCGAAGCGTTTCTTGAAGCAAGCACTTCCTACTGCAAGCTCCCTATCTAAACTTTAACTTCCGAGCCCCACCCTTGTGTCCGTGATGTCCAACTTAGCACCCGAGATTCCTTGAGGACCGTTAGTGCAAGTTTAAGGGCACGGAAGCCCAGAACCACGGACCACGCATGCCTCGCCTGTTGCCGTGCATCCCCAAGGCGGGCCAGCTGGGCCTCAACCCGCGCGACTTGCATGTCGATGTCCTGTGCGACTGCACTAGAACCAACAAAGGCTCACAGTATAGGGACTTTGTGGGCTTCAAGCTTCGGGACCTTAAACTTCAACCTCGTGGAAGCCATCTCGGCTATGCCTTTGCCCTCTACGGCTTCTCCGGGACCTCTTTTTCGAAGTCCTACTGTCCACCCATGCAGGATAACGCGGGTAAGTTCTTTCAATGAGTGAGGATCCATAGCATGAAGATGCACTGAGGGAACAACACGAAGGTTCCATCTTGGAGCCTGCATCTCCCTAAAACTGGCCTCTGACTCGGACGCCACGAAATCCATGAGGGGAAACACGTAGGATTCCCCACCCATGCCAAACCTTTGTAGTTGGAGAAAGGGCGCAACACAGCGAAGCATAGCACCCAGCAATCCATAACAAACGGCGGAGGAACTACAAGAGAAAATGCCATTCCATAACTTACACGAACCGGTCAATCATGGGATTTGAGGTTTTAAACGGCCAGCTTTTTTGGGTTGACGCTCAGAAGCCCGCCTTTGGGGTTTGAAACGGGTTGCCGCCGAAACCGCCACCAAGTACGAAACATCCAGGATTGCCAAGCTGTTTGGACATGTCCAAACTCCAAAGGGTAGCACTGTGCTTTGTGGCTGTTGAAGTCTGTTTACTTGCGCAATGGGCCAACGCAGGCTGCATCCAGCAGCGCTAGGGGCTCTGAGAAATTGCGGCTATCGACAGAAGACACCAGGCATGCAATTGCTACACTGTTACATCCTGCTGCTGAGCCAAGTGGCAAGAAACCCAGTGTCGAGTCCTGAATTGGGCAAACCAGTCGGTGCCCTAAGCACTCATGCGAGTGACGGCTCCACTTGCTGCCTTCTGCTGGCTTACTGTTCATCAGCCGCGTCTCATCACTTGCAGACACAATGCCGACGCCGAGAAGGAACCGCAGGCACGCAGCCGAACGACCGGCACACATGGCGTTGCCGGACCGTCAACTCTCTGAGGCCCTCGCAGCTTGCATCAGCCAATATCAGGAACCATGCTTGGTTTTAAGTGCCGGCCCTCCATGAGCAAGCGCCGTGGAGAAAAGCCAAACAAGAAGGTAGAACACGTCTCGATGCATCGTTGAACAATCGGCTGCTGCAGAGCTACGGCACTGGCGCATCGGGGGAAAAGCCCTTCCCATGCAGTGTCCAACGCAATGCCTGGAAGAAAGCCCTGGCCTCCTCCTCCTCAACTAGACGCACCTTCTCCTGCGCAGCAGCCGAGGTTCTGTGCAACCGAGACAGGAGTGGGATCCAAGATGGAGGGAAAGACAGCTGCAGCCACACCGAGGTCTTGCCGTGTTTATGGAGCACTGGGCAGTGCGCCTTCTCCGCCGTCTTGCGCAGATCAGCCAACTGATGGGCATGTGATGGTGGGTTCAGGGCAGCTCTCGTGGATCTGACTCTGAGCTTGACTTGTGACTACTCCAGAAAAACACATGTCGCATGTGGTCTTCATGCACATTCCCACGCTCTCACACTCTGGTTCCGACAGCCCAGAAAGCGAATTGTAACTTCACACGTAGGTCTGCCCGAACTTGCTAGGATTGCTAGGATGGCACACTGAGGACTAGGCCACACGCCGAAGATGATCTGCTTCGCCCTGAGCCAGGATTCTGGGCCCCCAAGTCTTCTCAGGAAAGCCCTCACATGCAGACAATACTCAGGGTGACGTCTAGTTGCTGGCATGGGAGGGTAGCACCGACATGTCCGTTAAGGACAGGGAGAGAGCATCGCATTATTTCTGCAGGTTGCTTTCGACAGCCGCAGTTATGTTGAATCTTCAACGCGCGACAAAGAAAAGCGAAGCGAACCCGTAGCAGTGGCCGCGAGGCCCGAAGAATGAAGCTGCTAGATGAACTCCCGTGTCTGGTATCGGTAACGGGCTCAAGCAGGTGAGAAGACCGGAATGCACAGAGCCAGCTGACAAGAGGGAGTCAAGCAAATGAACTCGAGAGCTATTTGCTTGAGTCTCTGCCCCGGAGCCCAGGACTGCGGAAGAGGACCCCAGGTTCACCATCCGCGTGCATTGGCTGCAGCAGGGCGGCCGGATTAAGTTCAAGAAGCTGCCCTGCGCTAGCGAATTGTGTTCTGACATGCCGCAGGAGTAAGCAATGCAACCCGCCTCGGAAACCATCGGAAACATTTACTTAATGGGAAGCCCAAGTCCAAAATAGCCCCAATCCGCGTCCCCACAGTGCAGGCCGCCTCCCACGCCTCCTGGCTGCAATTCGACAGAGGCTTGCTGAGGCAGCTAAAACAGAAGAGATTGAGCTAACACTCAGCCTATTGTCTTGAAGCATTGAGCCCCCAAACCCCCGCTGGAACTTTTCAATGCAACCCCGAACTGAAGTCGGAACCCTGAGCCCACTAGCACATCCCTTGTTGCATTATTTGAATTAAAAGTCTGCTGAATGGCCAGCTCGTGTGCTCAACAGCTTCGCTGTGGGACTTTCCCCATGCAGCAGCAGCGTGTGGGTGCAGGGCTGCCACATATCTGCAACATGTCCCAACAACAAATTATCCCAAGCCCAGGCCGCATGGCACATCTGAATTTGCACTAGGGCTGCTAGGGTGCCAAAGTAGCATGATGTAAACCCTCGATTGCCCCGAACACTGGACACTAAGAGCCTCCTCTGCAACCTCGGTGGCGGAGGTTGTAGAGACCGTTTCCTCTTCGGTTGTGGACCTGATGCATGCAAATCGAACGAGGCGAGGGAGAGGTGCACTGAAAAAGACTGTGTCTGGTACGTCGCAGTGGGGCTGGTGTGCTCGAACTCTTCGTTCGACCTTGCAGTTGCACGTTGGACGTGAAATCAGGCTGACGGGAAAAGGACTGTGTCTGGTACGTCGCAGTGGTGCTGCTCTGCTCGGTGTGCTCGAGCTCTTCGTCTTCGTTCGACCTTGCAGTTGCACGTTGGACTTGACATCAGGCCGTTCGGAGCATAGTCGGGGCCAAGAAACGGCACTTCTGGGTCGGGCCCGATGTCTCCATTGGGTATGGGATGGCTGGCTAGCCTTGACTGCACTGCACATCTACAGACAAGGGGTCCAAGTGGCGTTGGCACACATGCAAGGCGATATGGTTGACAACCTACGTCTCTTAGGCGGTGTTCAGCTCACCACAGCCAAGCATCTCTCGCTGCACTGGCTCCGTCACCTCTGCGACGGTGGATGTCATAGTCGTTGCCCCCCAGAAATAGCCCCCCAATGCGTTCAAGCCATGCATCGGGTTCAACATTGCACCCCAATGCCGCTTCGGCGTGGTCCTTTGTTTGTCCCGAAAAGGGCTG